TGGTGGGGGCGAGAAGAGGGAGGTCAGCGAGAGGCTGCTGAGGGTCTCCGAGGGCTCGCTGTTGTTGCCACCCCCCCGCAGGCTGCTGCCCGCCCCCTCCTCATCAGAGGGGTCCATGGAGTCATGGTGAGTGCAGCCGGGACTGGTGCTCCCACCGCTGCTGTGGCTGCGCTGATGACGACACATACTTCGCAGGTTGAAGAGCCCCCGGCCCCGCAGGCTCCGGCGGCGGGAGGCAGGGGAGAGGGGAGCTGCCAGGGGTCTTTGGCTGTCCGCAGCTGGCATGGGACACAGAGCCACCGGGAGATCCAGGGTGCACTGGGGAGAGTCGCTGAGGTTGAGGCTGTCCTCCAGCGTGGTCTGCAGGCTGCCTGCTGAGCTGCTGCTCCGGCTGTCCAGCGAGGTATCGCTCTCAGGCGGCTGGGGAGCAGGAATATGAAAACACAGTTCTCAGGAAGTAGATGGGCAGTGGGCAAGAGACTTTGCCTTATTTGTTTTAGGAGTACTTTGGGGTGTGAAAATAAACCACAAGAAAGGGGAAAAACTCCGATTCCCCTCTCACTCTCCTCTGCTGGGAGGGGCAGCTATAAACCACATAAGCAATGTTACAAAGCACCAGCCGTGTAGCTTGCTCAGGGGATTTCCTTCTGGGTAAGGAGGAGGAAAGGTCTCAATAGTTTGAACTGATTTCATTCTACTCCAGGATGGACCTAGCCCTCCCATGTGAAGTCCTCCACCAAAGGGAAGGGAAGCTGGGGAGTTGAGAGCTCTGCAGCCCCTGCCACTAGGCTCTCCCTGAGCACTGATGGTCCAGGGGGCAGTGGAGCAGAGGTTCCTCGTGGGTCCTCTCTCATGGCTTCCCTATAAACCTGCCATACAGGCTATGAACACATCAAAACTATCAGCCAGACAGGAATTAGGGGACTTCTGTACATTGAGCTCTGTTCATTAAAAAATCAGTGACATTTGGGGAGAGAAGAGAGTCCCCATGGTTCTTCTGACCAGCACTAATGGCAATGATGGTATTTAGGGCAGAAAGGTTGGTTCCCCTTCCAGCAGGAAGAGGAAACAGCCTTAATTTCCTTGTATCAGGTCTCAGCAAGTTAAGCTGCATTTCAGTTGTTTCTAGGAAATTGGTCTGCACTAAGAGATTATCACTGGGACACTGCACTGGGAATGATACATGTAGGATTGGAAGCAGTTTCCTGGGCCACAGTTATTCAACACAGTCTGCATCACATAATCAGAGGTTTACCAATTTCTCCTTTACAACAATTCAGTACTTTTGTCCCAGTGGTATGCCAGCTCCAGAGCTCCTCCTCTTTGTGTCTTAACTTATACCAAAAGTTTCAACACTGCAACAACTCAGTGGTCTCAGATGAAGGCTTAATTTATCCCTAGTGAATTTATACACATTTGTATTGAACCAACAGTGTCTGTCACATGTGGCTGGATACCATCTGATTTTATTTTTTAGTTTGTCTGGAATAGTGTCCCTGTTCATGGAGTACCCTCCAAGAACAGTAACAGGGATCTCTACTGGGCTTTCATCTCTGCCTCCTCTGCTCTTTAGAGACACTTGATCTTCCCCCAATGCTTTTATTTTTCTCTTTCATTAGTGAGAAATGGCTGCTTTTTCAGAAAGAGATAGCACCTTCCTGGGATGTGAGAGCTACGTGGGCAGGGGAAAACAGTGAGCTTAGGGACACAGTGTGCGGATGTGGTGCTAAGGGCTGTGGAGGATGTAGGTGGGGTGAAGCCTGTTCCAACCAAGAAGGTGTGTGATCTGGAGTCATGGTGCTAGGAGGACCCAAGGAGGCTGTGCAGCTGTCACCTCCCTGGCTCACACCGTGGCTGCTGTGCATGCAGGTCTCTGCAGCACACTCAGTGCCAGGGACTCAGGGGTGAGCTACAAAGTGATGTGATTTCATCTTTATGTGGGGCTCACTGCAGCTGTCAAACTATTTGTCTGTCCAAAGCAGCAGAACGTATGACTTGATGGGCTAAGAGCTGTACAACACCCCTTTGCTATACTACCCTCTCTTTTCCCCAACCCTCCTGCATTCTGCAGTCCACTGTGCCCCTCCAACAGATCCAGGTTACCCAGCCCATAATCACAGTCTTTCCTTTGCCCTCCTCCTCGTTCAGCCCTTTCTGTTTGGGTGTGATGTGAAAACTGAGTTCTCCTAGCAGAGGGAAGAAGGGTTCCTCACCTGATGAAGAAGCGAACAGTTCACACTCGGAGATCTCAGTGATGCCCATGAGCCTTGCAGAGAGATCTTAGGAAGGCTGTGTGGACTCGAGACCTTCTCAGGCCCTGTCTGGGTGGCAGACATGGCTGGGTGGAAAAATTCTGCTGGTACAGGTAACAGAGGGCAAGATGCACCTGGAGGGAAAGGGCTAGGAGGGACTGACAGAGCACCAAAGAAAGGGGAAGAGAACAGAAATAGAAGAAAAAAAGGTGTAAGAGCCCTCTGATTTGATTTGGTGCCTTTACTGCTGTTACACTGAGAGTCCTCAAGTCTAGTGTACAAAGGATATTCAGTGACACACACTACTGGCCAAGAAGTCTTAGTCTGGTGTTACGTGCCCATGACCATCTGCACAAAAACCTGCACCAGACCCACAAGACCTAACACAGCTCAGAGTCATAAAGTAACAGCCCAGCTTGCCCCTGCTGTTGCTCTCGAAAAGTATGTATCACTGCCATAGGATTTTCATCCCAGGTCCTGCAAGGGTTGAAGGGAGATAAATAAAGTGGTGCTTTGGGAACCTGGGGACCACAGGAGACCAGAGCATGCTCTAGAGTAGAACTGGAGCACTTCCACCAAGGACAGACGTGTTACATGTTCTCTGAAACTGTGCCTGGTGGCAGGGGACAGCAGTGTTTTTTTACTGTGCTGAGAAAGCACAATTCATCCAGCTGGCATGTCAAGGGAATCCGTCCCTTCTCTTTTCTGACTGTTCATGGGAACACTACTGTGAATGGGCATCAGCTCTTTTACAATACTTCACACAGTTATGTCTGAGGGAAGATACAAGATCTGGCAGCTAAAGAAGGAACTGCTCCTCACACCATTCCTGAAGACCAGCAAACTGAAAGGTAATTCTTGGTTAGTGTAATCCCATGTCACATTAACTCCATTCCTGGTATAGGGGAGGCAGGGGAAAGATAGAAGAGCTGAACCAACCCACACTTTCAGTAGACCTGGAGAATGATGAGAACTGTGCTCACCTTTGGTACTTTCATGCTTTAGCCAAGACTGGACTGAGTTTAAGGGAGTATTCTCCATTTCACACAGGTAACTGTCGGGGTTTGTAGAGCCATCCTCACTGGATATTGGGAGCAGGCATTCCCCAAGATTGTCTGCCCCACTGGAGTCAGGGCTGTCCTGGCCATCCTGCTGGAAAAAATTAGCGAGGGCAAAGCCTTGTGAAATTTAATGGCAGATGGTAGAACAGACTTGTCAAAACCTCAGAAAAAGCTGATTCTGATAATACCTTCAAGCTAGCTAAGAGATGCTCAGTTTTCCCGCCCAAATCCCCTAAATTTAGACTCATTCAGAGGAAGTTATTAACAGTAGTGAAGAGAACTTCCAAAAACATATATCCTTTTGTTCTCCTCAAATCCTTCTCCATGGTATGTCTCTATGGAGAAGCTCTTGAAAAATGACCAGAATTATATTCCTCAGCAGGGACACCTGGATGAATATAGTGCACTTGAAATGAGCAGGGGCATTAATACAGTGTACGGTGTAACATGCCCATGACCACCTGGGGCTGACCTTGATCTGCTTAGGACTCAGCTGAGAAGTGTTTCGATTGTCTGACTCATCTCCTAGAAGGATGGAAGAGGACTTGTCTGAGTTGAGAGATAATCCTTCCATTTCAGCCAGCTGGACCTGCAGGAAGGGAAAGGAGCTATCACAGGTCATGCCTGACACTCACATTTCAAGCAGTCACACTGTTTATGGTGGATAAGTGAGAGCCTGTAGACCCGAGATCAATTTTAGGTTATATTCCCTTGGATACATCAGGAACTGCCTAACCCAGACCTGGGCTGGGCAGGAGAATTCACTTTTTAAGGAAGGTCAAAAATATGATGATCTGCAAGCAGCCCACCACCAGTCCATGCTCCTCTAGTGCCAGAATTGGAAGAATGAGTCCTGAATCTGTCACAGCAATACAGTTGGCCCAAGGCCCTGCAAGTAAAGCCAGGCAGGCAGAGGGTTCCCTCAGGCCAATGACAAGGCAGCCTGATCTGCTGAGGGATGAGGAGTGAACCCCTCTCTCTGAAGGCACCACAGACAGCCCTGCTTAAACATGAAGGTGCTTTCATTCCAGGGATAGTCATGCCTCTTGCAGTTCATGCCAGTATCATGCGTTTCATATTCTCTTACCTTCATTACTGAAACCCTGTTTCCCTCCAGCTGTCCTAGGTCTTCCCTATCCCCTCCCCTCTAACCTACCCAAGACTTCACCTAACACCATCTCCCATTCTGCTCTTCATCCCTAAACTCACCCCTCCCGCCCACTCTTGCTTTCTGAAAGCAAGTCTGCATCTTTCTTATTGTTGTGCCTCTGCTCCAGACCCATGTCTGACCTTGCTTAATCTTTTGGCCTGCTTCATACCACATATACCCCCTCCCATCCTCTTTCCTCCAAGCTTTCAAATCCCCTCTGCCTGACAACTGTCTCACAAGGCCTGAAAAACAACTGCAGTTGCTTTGTCCCTCCTGTGCTTGGATTTCTGTCACTGGTCTCTAGAGTCCCATCAGTTCACACCAACAGCAGCTAACTCTTGAAAGCTGTATTCTGGGTTGTCTCAATGAGGACAGCTTGCTTCCTGGCTGTGTCTCTTTCTGGCCATGTGTTTGTGTTTGCAAGAGACAGGTACAGCTTTTATGCCATGACAGCAGGTGAAACATTTGGAGAGAAGACTCTTTTGAGCTGGAAGTTTAGCAGCTTGTGCCAATGCCAGAGAGTCGAAGAGGTCTCCATCTGAGGGATAATGCACTTTAAATAAACAAGATGGAAAACCAGAGTTGGATTTAGACAAAGGGCACAAATGACACCCTTATTTGAGATATCCCGACATAGGAACACGGTGCCGTTCCACCATGAAGAGAGCGCAAAACCAACAACTGCTGCTCAGAGCACCAACACACAGAGAGCCCACAGCGAACTTACATCAAGCACGCTACACAAACACCAGTCAGCAACTACTTGTGTAGAGAAACACAGTCTTCATTCAGTCCCACCTAATGTGTGCACTTATCTATCACTCGCCTAAGAGGTTGTTACACCGGAACAGCCTTACAGCTGTGCTTGTAGAGACACGAGCGTGAAACGTGGTAACATCTGTGACTACCTTCTCCATCCATAAAAAACCGATTTCAACAAAAGCCAGAATAGTCTGTTTGTCACTGCTTGAAAATTCTGGCCACCTGGGATCTACACAAAAAACATAATCAACAAAGTCTTAAATATATAAACTGCAGGTGTGGAAACACTAGTGCTCACTGACAAACTCCTAAAAGTAGTTAAATGCACTTGAGCCACCAATACATAAATGTCTGTCAACCATCCCAAGAATGGAAGGATAGCAATGACAAGAGAAGAGGTTAGCACCATGAAAAAAGGAGGTTTTGTTCTTATTGATTCCCTTACTGTAGAATATTTTAAAATCTGCTGACTAAAGATAAGGAACAAAAACGTTTTAAAAATTGCAGTGGGGGGAGAAGGGGCTGTTCACTAGATCACAATCCATGAAAACTGCCAAGAACATCAACTTGAGACACTGAACCATGTACATATATCCCTCAGAAAATAACTAGTTGCAGATATAACTTTAAAAACAGACCTGTGATTGCAAAAATTCTTAATTGTATAAATAATTGGTTTGAAAATAAAGTGTCAGGAGCATAACTGGGAAACGTGCTGAGCTCAATGCCACAAAAGGCTTAGCACATATTAATAAGTCTGAGCATATGTTTAAATGTTGTGTCCATCCACTGTGCTCAGCATCTTGGTTAATTAAATCACCAATGAAATCAGAGTGAACATTTCTGGCTAATAAGTGATTTTTGTCACAAGGGCAGAGTTAAGGGTGATATGGTGGACAGCAAGCATACTGGTTTTTTTGAATACATATGTATTGAAGAGGACTAGATAAAAACTATTTTTCCTATGTAACTTGCTGTCAATTGCTTTGAGACAGTACAGTTCTGTCTGTGTGTACAATACCTATTTGAATATGTTGATGTAGCAGGGTAAACTCTAATGACTATGTGCATTCCTGATGTTAGTTATATATCCATATAGTGATTTCCTGTTCAAATTTCCTCAGTGTTTTTTACTATGGAATATGAAGAGAAGGTCACAATCAATTATGACTTAAAATCCTGAGCTGTAGTTTTGATTCATATCATCAGACATAAAATATCTACATTTTATTACTGAAGTTATTCTTGCATATATAGATAATTTCTTCTTGAATCCATATTTTAGATGTATTTAAATGTCAATTTTGAAAAATAATTTATGGCTCTATAACAACCACTAGAAAATATGATATAAGAATCATTCTTCAGTTGTGATTATTATATCAAACGCTGCTGTGGCTGTGGGTTGCACTTGAAGATTTTGCTATCTAGTTTTTTTGATGGAAAGGTAAGAAAACGTGGTTGCCTTCATTCCTAAGTGGGATACGGAAGACTGGAAGGTTTTAAAATGTAGCAAAGTAGCTGCAAATGACTTAATTTTGGGGTAATCATTCTGGAATGCCTTAGGAGATCTCATTTGCTGAGAAAGCTGAGCACCAATTGCTGAACATAAGGACTTAAGTAAAGCAGTGGAAATTGCAGTTAATTGAAAACTAGTTATTTGGTTGCACTAATGAAGCATCCATTTGTGAGGTGTTGCAATAATAATAAACTACAGCAATGTTTGCATTTTGATACTTTCAAAGGGAAGCTATGGGGATGAGCAGATAGCTGAAAAACTGAGAAAAAATTAGAACATCAGAACTAGGCATCTGAAGCCAAACAAAATAATGCTTTCTTCAAACATGGATAGAGTAATTTGCCAATAAGAGCTCATTTCCCAAGTTTCGTTGTTTCTTTATAAGCGATAGCAAAATATCAAGTTAGTTATGGAGAAGGAGAAAATGAAGATTGCCACTGATGCACCAATTTACTGTTAGATAAGCCACACTACTGCTACAAGTCTGAGCACACAAAATGGGAGCACTTAAATCCAATAAAATTACTTCAGATATAAAATTAATTCTACTCCTCATCTAACTCCTCCCAGACTACTTTGTTCCTGAAGTTTCACAACATGAAAAGACTAATAGCTTAGGAAGCAGTTTTCCAAAGCATCTACCAACTTTAGAAGCTCAAGTCTAAGCCATTTGGTGTCCTGCTCTTAACAACAACCCATTTGTCAGCTAACAAACTTTCTCAGTGGGCCCATTTTTATTTAGTTTTTGCTCAAACTAATTAACCGGTTTTCACTACAAACCAATCCTTGCTCACAGAGGCTGACTCTACTCAACAAGGCATTTAAACTTGTGCTTAATTCATCGACCTCAACAGGGAATGAGCAAGCACGTGCTTAAGGAAAAAACACATGCTTAAATCTCCCACTGAATTGCTTCTGAGTGCTGTCATTGGGGTGAGATCCTTTGAGTCCTCCATACAAGATGAGCGTGAACCTAGCCTTTTCTTGCAGAATTGAACACAACAAGAGCTGCCAGGATGCCTTCATAATCATTTCTCCACAGGTCATTCAGTCCCTCCTGACCTGTAGCCGGTCACGTCTCACTTTTCCACCACCTCAAACATCCACCTGTGGCTGAACAGGGCAGGCCTGTACTAGAGGCAGTATCAGCACTTCACGACAAATAACAAACACAGGTCAACAAGGTCTACTGGCTACACAGTCTACAGTCAGGAGCACACATCAGATGACCTGTGGGCATGTGGGTGTGGGTGTGCAGGCCCTGGGGGGAGGGTCCCCTCACACATCCTCGTACGCAGGTTACCTCTTGCTTGTCATGGTTACACTTCTCGCACATGGCCGGCGAGGAGTAATGGTGGAAGACGGAGCCCGATAGGTTATCGATGATCATTAACTCCCCGTCGAAGGAGTCCTTAATAATTAAAGAGACACTGTCCAGCCATAAGTTCTCCTAGGGGACAAGAAAGGGGGGAGGACGGGAGAGATCATTTTAAGAATGTCGAGTTTTTTGCTTTAAAGTTTCATGTGAATTTGGGGCTGGGTTCTCCAGCCTGACTCATCTGGAGCAGCATCTTGTTCTGCAGGTACTTGCACAGGGTCACTGGGGGAACACTTGCTCCATAGGTTGTGTAAAGATGCCAGAGTTCAATGCAAAAAAAGAAAATAAAAAATGAGGGACAGTCTTCACTCACTTTCAGTGCATCACAGCACTGCTCACACCTCCCTTTCAGCTTTTCTAGAGTGCCTCACTCGATCTGCCATTTCCCCTGCACTCATCTCCTGAGCTCCCATCTCAAATTTGCTCCTGTCACACCTTTAGCTAATCTGCTCCATCCCTCCTCTGCTGGCCCTCAGGTTCCTGCACCATGATGACAATAAACAGGACACACTGCTGTCACAGCCTTGTCCCTACGTGATGCTACCAACTCAAAAGTCTACTGCTGAAAGCAAAACCTCTGCTCCTGAGGTGGAAGACACTGTCTGCTACTGCTAAGCCCTCAGTCATCTAGGCTGCCCGGCTTCTACCCACAGCTACTTGCTGCAGTTTGGTTAGTAAGCTCAAAGTTAGGTGTACTCACCTGGGCTGGAGAGTAACATCTCGTGCACAGATGTCCTTCAGGATCTGTTCTACCACCATCTCCTCCTGTTCCTGCTCCTTTTCCCTGTCCTGAATTTGGAGAGCCTGACTTGCGGGAGCACAGCCCATGAGCAATTTCCAGCTCAAGCTCAGCATCCATCTCTGCATCCTCCTGGGCCTCTTTGTTGCTGTCGTCGAGATGTTTCATGAGCACGGCTACCACCACATTGATGAGGACAAACTGGGCTGTGAGCACAAAGCTGACAAAGTATAGTGGGGAGATGAACTGCAGGTTGCTGAGGCAGCTCCGGTCATCGTGGCTGCAGTCACGCAAAGTATCCTTGAGGGGAAGTTGGGTTTGAGAGGGAACGATGGAAGGAAGGAAAAGCCGAAGTAAGAATAAAGTATTGGTTGCTCTTCCTGCCAAAAATCACTGATGCCAATGGAAGGAACAAGGAAAACACTTCTAGCATGCCATACCCATTGGGATAATGAGGTCCCCAAAGAACTTGGGACACTATCTGCGCACATGCTATCTGCTTCAGAGGGAAAACATCCAAAAGCATATGGAGCAAACACTTTCAGACCATCGCATGTTGCTGCCACTGTAGCCTCACGCATGTGAGCAAGACCAAAAACGAGCAGTCTGGTACTGTCTTCTCCCCTCCAGACTCAAAAACACCAAATGCAATCAAAAAACTTGCCTTTCTCTCTGTCCTCTGAAGGAAGTAAGTATTTATTTTGGATTTTCCTGGTACCTCTGCAGATGGGTACCATGTCTAACACACATGTCCTGTGCTGAGCTTTGATAACAGACCTTACTACAGTGAATATTTCCTCTTAGCCTGGACAGTCTTCTTGTTCCTCCCAAGGAAAATTGGCACTTTCTCAATCAGATGTCTCTAGGACTAGATGAGCCCAAGGTTTGAGTTACCACGTTGGGGAGAGAGACTCTAGACCAAGCAGGGTCTATCTATCAACCCAGCTTCTGTGTTCCTTCCCTTTGCTAGCCCAAGCAGTGCTGAACAGAGCACACATTAGAACTTCTCCTCCCCATAACTAGGAGATTATTGTCCCAAAGGCAGTTACCTTCATGATCCCATTCCAGTTGTCACCTGTGGACACCTGGAAAAGTGTGAGGAAGGCCATCCCGAAGTTCTCAAAGGTGGCGTGGCGGCTCATGCCCTCACAGGGGTTCTCATCATTGCATACTGAAAAAAAGGGGATTGTAGCACTCAGTGGAGGACACATTACCAGCCCTGAGATCAACAATACAAACTCATAGCCTGAAGACCTCAGGTAATGGCATCAGCACCTTGCCCAACAGTTGGCTGCTGGACATCAATACAAAAAAATGCCTGACGGCCCAGCCCTGAGATATCATGCAGTGTACTCTGTTTCTCAGGAGTATCCTCCGAATATGTCATTGAGCTGCCTTTCTCCTTGATCAATGTTCCATGGCAAGAGATGTAAATAAACTTTCCCTAACTTTTTCTTGTAATCTTAAAGGCAACATCAAGGCATACAGTGCAGGAAAAGCAAATGTTTAAGAATATAAGAGAAACTAGAGGCTGCTTTTATTTTGTTAGACTGTTAGGACTACAAAAATTTAGAGGAAATTCCTCTTATATCAATTATGCATAAGAGAGAATAAAGTCCATCAAATAATCCAGTCTCTTTATTGAAGAGTACTGATTTTGAGAAACCTTAACCAGCAGGTTTGTAGCTCCCACTGGAGCATGGTCTGCTTGAGACTTACCCAGTTTTCCAAAGAGCTCCACTCCTAGAGCAGCGTAGATGAAAAAGAGGAGCATGAAAAGAAGTCCAAGGTTTCCCACCTGAAAGCAAAGGGCATGGTCAGCCTATCCCAAAGCTTATTTCAGCTGTACAGGCAAGTGTTTCTGCCTTTCAGAGCCTGAAGAGAACAGCAGTGAATTCCCAGTGTACAAATGCAACCAAACAATTGTTCAACACTAGGGAAATCATCGGTCGTGGCTCCAGTTGCAGCTGGACCCTTTATCCAGTTGCCTTCATTCCAGCAGAAGTTCTGGCCAGAGCTGACTGAAGTGTGCAGTTTCTGGGACAGGTGGAGACAAGCACATTGGAGCAGGGGCACAGAAGGTGAAGCCAGTTTGGCTGGGTGAAGGACAAGCTGTGAGTCAGAGCGTGGAGACGTCCTGCAGTGCTACGTGCCCCACCAAACTGCCTAAATCCCTTGAAGTTACGATCATGTGAATAGTGCAAGAACAGTGTTACAAGGAGACAGGGACACAGGTACACCAGCACCAGCTACAAGTGGAGGTTACATCAAGGCTTGTGGGAGGAATAGGCAGGTGGGAAGGAAGAAGGGTAAAGACATATTTGTAAGATGTGTGTAGAGAAGGAGGAGAAGAGAGGGGACTATGAAGGAGTCAAGAGAGGAAGCAGAGCTACCTTTGCATCTCATGAATACTAGGACAAAGCCTGACTTCTAGACCTTCAGTGGCTGCTTTTGGGAAACATCCCCATGAGAGGATTGCTTCCTCATGGTGCAAAAATGCAGCAGCAATATGGGCACTGCCACCCAGTCCTCACTCTCCCAAATCACAGCTTGCCTCTGAATCTCCTCCCCACCCAGCACATGGGGCAGTCAGATTATATGTCAGGACCTGGAGTGGGTTTTGGAAGAAGCAGGTTGAACAGTAGCAGAAAATACTAGTAATGGTTAGCATAGTGTTGGTGGAACAAGAGAAGTCATGGAAAAATTAGGTACCTAACTGGCATACGGGTGTTTCTGAAGAACGGAACAGTTTCTGGTCTGAATGCATGTGGTCACTGGGCCTTTGTTAGAATCATCCACTTCAGGAGTCTAATTTAGTCATTGTAACTGCTGTGCCATCCAAATTCAGCAGAGAAATAAATGATTCAGCCCACCCACTCCCCCGAGCTGCCAGATTCTGGCTCCCTACATACTCAGTGAAAGAAATTATTTCTGATTACTAAAGTGGACACCATAGTTAATGCTGTGAACACATACCACTGGGTCTGTGTCTACAGGGCATTAAGAAAAAGAAGTTAATAAAACTTAGCTAAGGACTACATTTCCAAAGGGCTCTTTAAAATTAAAGCTCTATTCACTATTAAGAATTGCTGCAGTATAACAAAGACAGGAAGGGAGTTGAAACGGGACAACTGGAGATGCCTTGTATGACGTTAGCAAGCCAAAATCCCTGATATGAGTCTGTGCTCTACGAACAAAAACAGAAAGGTCAAGAAGAGGAAAAAGCACAAGGGAAAGGACAGCTTATTTTAAACTGCTTCTTTTGGCAAAACCAATAAATCTTGGAGAATAATATTACAGATAATGCAATTGTCCCCTAAAGATCCAGTGTATAAAATATGGAGACTAAATTTATTCTTTTAAGAGTGAAACTGGTGGATTTAAGCACTTTAAGTGTGGATTTTTACACAACCATGGAGTGATTTTTTATCCCTGTTACACAACTTCATTAAACAAAGCCAAACTGTTACAGGAGGAAGTAAAAGCCAGTCAATAGGAAGTATCATAGGCTTTGATGCTGGAGGGATTAAGTACTGCTTGTTATTACCTCCCAGGAAATACCTAGAGGCTAAACCTTCTGACATCTGCTTGTTTTGGGGCAGATATTAATGACCTCCAAAAGACCTGACCTACCAACTTGGTGAGCAAAGGAGATGTATGTAAACTGGAGAGAGAAAAGTCAGAATTTACAAAGTATGGAAGAATATGTTTGTGGCTAGGACCAGAAGCAGGGACTCATAGGTCCCAGCCATGCTCTTTACAAAAGACTTTACTCTCTGATGACTCAGTTTCTCCATCTACATGACAGGGATATGAATATTTCCTAGTCTCTTATTTATGCTCTATATTTTGGGGATAGAAGTTGAGTCTCATCATTTAGGTGCAAATATATTGCAGAGTCCTCTTACCAAGGGTTTATGGATACTATTTCATCCAGCTCTGTGTGCATCTGTGTGCATTTATCTGGGTTGCAGAATAAACATGCCACAGACATGCAGATGCTGGATCTGAAGACCTGCTCCATTCCAGACCCTTGCCTGAGAAAAATCATCTCTTGTGGCTCCTGGAATGGAAAAGAGCAAGGTGCAAAGAAGCTTCACTGAGTCAGCCTGGGGCAGCAGAGCCAGAACTAACAAATGTTACTGGTCCGAATCTGCCTGCTATAAGAACATCCTTAATCTCCTGTTCCTTTCATTGTCCAGTGTATCTCAGCCCACAACTATCCTGAATTATGATATTATATATCCTACATATGAATTATTGTTATTATTACTATTATTATTACTCAAAATTAATTACTGTTTAATAAAAAGCATGAGCGATCAGACAGAGCTCAAGATCCATAAAAGATGACAGAGTTCCCCTCTCACTTTTGTGCGATCAAGATTCCTCTTTTTCAGATTGACGTTTGTTGTCACCAACATCAGAAGTAAATTCCTTGGGTAACTACTCATGCTGTTTTCAGACTGAATCTCAGCTCATCATCACTCACCAGCACTGGCACATTAGCTGATAAATCGACTGACAAATGCCTGTGCATTTTGATATCATGCAATATAGTTGCCTTCTCAGGGCCTGCCAGGGGAATGGCCTGATGTATGATCAGTAGAGCCACTTGGTGCCACTACTTCTTGCATAACAATTCTCTCTTAACAATCCAAAGGGAAGGGGACCAGACTCCCTGGCTGCTCATCCATCATGGAGGATACTCACAGTGGGTTTGAAGCCTGTGTAAAGCACTGTGTCAGCATCTCATTCGGGAACAGCTGCCGCTCACAGCTCATGAAATCCTTCTGTCTAGCTGTCTTGCAGTAGACACTTAACTGCCGGCTGCGTGAGCCACAACAGAGCATGTCACTGCTTCTCATATATGAGAGGCTCAGAAACACAAAGGGACCCAGGAGGAGAAAAGAAGAAAAAGAAGGAAGGGGGAGGCACTTGCTAAGAAAAGAAGTGCTGAGAGCGTGAATGAAAGAGAAGGGGGAAAAAGGGGGCATATGCAGGGAAGGGTGAGAGGGCCAGTGATACGAAGACTTCCTTTCCTCCTGAAATGGCTGCCAGTCACTCTTCCCTGCTTGTGGAGAGGAGAGAAAGGAGCTGAGGACTAACTGCAGTTAGACACTAGCTAGACACGATGCGAAGAAATCTGCCCTTATCCAGGAGTCAAACCTTATTTCATTCACCCACTGGAGAACAAAGATGTGAGGTGAGCTGTACCCCCCTGAATGACATGAAAACTTGGACATAACCTTCAGGCAGTTGCCTGCACAACACAGTAGGCACTATCTTTGAGACTACACAAGAATCAGCCCTTCGGAAGAAAGGGACAGCAGAGGAGTCTTTTGGGAAGCTGGTCTGTTTTACCTGTGGCAGGGCTTGGACAACGGTATCCAGCAGCGCTCGCATTCCTGTGGCCATCTTCAGTAGCTTCAGGACTGTCACAACAAGCACAAGAGAAGTGTGGTTCAGACTAAGCTCAGAAAGTCTGTCCTTTGTGTGACTTATTAATGACAATAGCACAAGATAGATGTCCTGTCTCCCCTTGCCCTAGAAAAACTGGATTTTCCCCCTCATCCTCCTTTTCCCTTTTGACTGTACAACCCTAGTTGTTCCTTCTACTCCAGTCCACATCCTTTTTACTAAATACTCTGCTTCTACCACCCATGCTTATTGGACTTCTGGTTCACCCAGGCACTATAACCAAGTGCTCCTTTTCTCAGCAATGTGTACCCCAATTGTCCCTCTGCTTGGATTTCTCCTTCCATCAGTTTCTCTTCCTCCAGATACCACTGTTAATCCAGTTTAGCACACTTTGGCCACCACCAGGAAGATTCAGGCCCCTGCCTGTGCAAACTTCAACCTGCTTTGTGGCCTCTTCTTCACACACCGTTGCCATGCTTGCCCCATAAATAAGAAACAGAGAAAGTTCAGTTCTCACATGATCTGCCCACCCTCTTAGTCCTTCACCTCCAAGGGAGCCAGAAAGTCTTATCCTCTAGGCCGTCCTTCATCACATCCCAGAAGAATCCCTGCTGGGTTGTGACAAAGGACACCCTAGAGGTTCCTCCAGGGTTGGGGACAGGGTGAGCCCATGACTCTACAGCCACTGCTCAATGAGTCATGGCACCAAGTCCCACTCCATGGCCACATGTACCCTGCCTTCGGCCAGTGTCTCACCCCGGGCGATACGCAGCACCCTCATGATCCGGATGATAGTGGGGTTAATTGGGAGAGCAGCATTGATTTCAATCTCTTCCAGTGTGATGCCCATGACAGACAGCAGCACAATGGCCAGATCCAGCTGGTTCCACCTTAAGAAGAAAAATTGAAGACAATAAAGGAAGATAGAGTTTTTCCATTTCCCTGAAAAACAAAGTGAATTGTTTCCACTTCAACCTAAACATTTCTTTATGTATGAGTTCAAGGCCTCACTCTGAGTTGGCCTATATGGGTTTTTGCAGACAAACAGAGATTCACTTTGCACACAGCCTGAGCAGCCAGAGGCAAGCCAGCCTGATTTGGAAGCATGGAGCTGTGTTACTGTGGCGCTATGCATTGACTAATGGGCTCAGCTTTTTACAGCCTTACTACCTCAAATCGACTTTGTTATGTATGTTCTGCTTCAGAATGCTCACAGTTTGCCTCAAGGGCAGGAAAAAAAATGTCTCTCTCTAACCTCATCTCCTTTGCTTTCTAGCCTAACCAGCAGATGCCAACAAAGAGGCAATTTTTGGACAACTCTCACTATTGCCTAGGCATTGTAGCTCAGGCAGACTGAGGTGAGGTCCATGCTGTGCAGAACTGGGAGGCAGTCAGGGCACTCTGCCACCACCTCACACTCTAGATAGGGAATTGTCCTCAAAACCTCTACCCCAAACCCAGCTGTTCTACAGTCACGGTTGACAACCCCCTGCTCACCTGTCTTTGAAGAATCGTCGCAGACCAAATGCCACCAGCTTGAGGACTGCCTCAAACACAAAGACAGTGGTGAACAGGTAGTTGCAGTACTTGAGGGCGGTCTCCAGGGACTTCCAGCAGAAAAAGAGGGCAAAGAATTTAGGCAAAAGCAACATCAAGCACAAATCTCCTCTGCGCGGGGACTCTCCTAAGTGCCAGGTATTCATTGTGAGGTGGGGAAGCTACCCCATGCTTCCTACCTACTTGAATGTGGAGGCTGCCTACTAAGGGCAAGCACCAGCTGGCCTCTCTGCCCCATGTTCTTATCAGGATCCTTTCTCCTGTACTGTTCAGCATAATGGGGAGGAGGAGGCTATTGCAAGAAGAATCCACAAAATACCATCAGCCTTCTCTTCTGCCAGTAGCCTGTGCCACCTGGATGACACCTTGTTAGTGGCACTGGCATAGCTATCAACCAGGAGTGAAGAATAAAGGTTACTCTAATTGTGGATACAGGTCATCTCTGATGGGAGGAAACCCTGCTGTGCCTTGGTCTGGGGCCAGCATGTCACACCTCTGAGCTGATTGGCTTTTGGTTCTTTTACATGCTGCCCCTTCTCTACCACCAAGGACTAGTGTGAGCAGTGGGCGTTTTGTACTGGAAGGGTTTGAAGAGCTTTGATAACATTGTTTAACAAAGCCTGACAACAGGCTGGCATGGTTGGACCTGTGTTCCAGGGAAAGGAGCTGAGGAGTAAGGAAGAGGAGTGACTTGTTCAGGAACAAAGGCCTGATGCGAGGATGCCAACAGATAAAAGTTGAGGGTTCCTGTAGAGTAAAACTGGGCACTATCAAGGGCAAGATAAAAGCTGGGCAGTTGGGCAAGATAGGCAAGAAACAGAGGAGCCTGGTGGTAGATTTGAATGACAGACAGATTGAGTTGCTGCTCAAAGCCTGAGTTACCTTGGACAACCTGTTCAGACATCAGAGCTGCCAGCCTAAACCAAACTGAAATGCTACTGGGTAGATGTCATGATGAATGCTTTTTCTACATATGGAGGCAGAAGGCTCCTCTGATATGTGCAGCATACATTGTTTCCATCAAAGGTATCTAGAGTTTTGCCAGGAACACTGAGGTACATGGTCTTCCCCAGCCAAAGTGTAAAATTTATTTGGCCTCCAAGGTGCTGTATTGGGAATCATCCCCTGCAGCTGAGAGAGGCTCTACTCGGCACTTTGGCCCTGCAGCTTCTCTCACTAAAAAGAGGTGGCTTGGTAAAGACATCCCATCCCATGACGCACAACCAGCCACTCTAATTTTCTGAGCTCAGGTCATATGGCAGGGGAATTGGACTGATATTTGGAAATCTGATGCAAAGCCTGAAGCTCCCAGGACACTGCTGCTTCCACCACTCCTGTTAGGATCCAGAGGAACATAAAAAGCAGAGCAGGGAGCTAAATTTGGGTGACCCACAAATCCACTTACTAATATAAAGCACGGAGACTTAATTGCACCATGTTTTCTAGGGGCCTGACTCTTGCTTAGATGCCTTCTCTCTATTGATTTTAATGGCTAACAAGTGTCTGAGTAGGAACTATCTTTCTGGACACCTGTGAGACTCTTCACCCAGCTTCGCCTACTATATTAAATCTTACAAAATTTTAACAGTAGTTTTTAGAGACAGTCAAGTGTCCTACTTATGCTGGTGGGCAGTGGTCATCAGAGAGTTGTAGCAAAGTAACCTAATGTCTAGAGGCAGGGCTTATCTCCATGATCTCACTCACCACAGGTTGGTTGTAGTGCTCCAAGGACATAGTGACCACGTTGAGGCAGATGATGAAAGTGATGAAGATGTCCAGATAGTGGCTGGTGCAGACCGAATGAATAAGGAGGCGTATGGGGCAGTAGGTAGCATAGTACGGCAAACGCTGTGCCTCTTCAGTGGAAAGAGGGATATGGGCAGAGGAAGAAAGAAAGAAAGAAAGAAATGGGTAAGAAACAGAGAAAGAAGAAGGCATAAGACTGGTGACAGGTGTTGAAAGAAAAGGGAATGAAGGCGGGAGAGAGAAAAACCAGAAAAGGATAGGTAAAAGATAAGGGACATAGGAAGGAGGGGAAGGGAAATACAAAAAAAAAAAAAAAGAGGAAAGAAGAAGTGGGGAAAAAATAAGTAGAAAAAAGATAAGGAAAGGAATGCTAGAAAGGAAATCTGTTAGTCTACGTTTGTAGGAATGGTGCTAAATCAGCATTTCGTATCCTAACAAATTAAGTTCACTTTTGATAAAAGGGAGCAGATGGTTCAAGGAGAGGCCCTGGGGTGTCAGGGGAGAGAGGGGAAAAACTGGAGCACAGAAAGGGAAAGCATGCCCACAGGCTGTGAATGTAAGAAAACCATCAGTCTGGGTAGTAGGAATGATTTCCAGGGGCAAGGACGCTTTTGCAATTTTTGTCTAAAGGTAACATAGAAGAGGACAGAAACACCAGGAAAAGAGAGTTTCTTTCACCATAGAGGATTTGGGATCCCAAGGAGTGACAGTGCAACACTGATGGAAAGAACCAGGAACAAAACACAGTGGCCTTCCTCTTTTTTTTTTTCCCTCCTTCTTCTTTAAATTTAGGGTTAAACACAAAGGATGGTCTCTCCAGGTCTTCCTTCAATCACCAGCTGAGTTGCAGGAAGCCCAGGTGGGACTGTCCCAAGGCCAGGAGGTGTATTGATGTGTGGATGCTCTGTGTCAACAGTGCTCGCGAGCATGTGCACAGGGGTATTTTTGGTACATTATCCCCTGAGGAGCAGGGTGCTAAAGCCCCAGTGGCTTCCCTAGAGTCCCAGCAGACTTCATCAGTCACCCCTCTTCCCCAGACTGCCCTAGTGAGGTGTGTAGTGGCACGGCAGTGGTGCAGGGAGGAAGGCTGAGAGCACGGCCACGAGCAATGTATTTTGGAGACCAGTCCATCAGGAAAGAAAAAGAAGAGGAAAAGGTTTTTCTCAGAAAACCTTGGCCTACAAACCAACCAAACACTTAGGCTGTGCCTTACTCCTTCGCTTCTTCTCCAAGCGTCGCAAGCGCTTCTCCTCCCGCCGGCGTGCCTCCTCAGCCTCCTGGTGCTGCCGGCACTTGTGGAAGTTCTCCACCACCACCCCCACGAACATGTTGAGCACAAAGAAGCTGACAATGAGGAGGAAGGAGATGAAGTAGAGTAGCATCCAGGGGTTGTTGTTGGTCACTGGCTGGAGGAAGGGGGAAAACAGAGCTGGTCATGGTCTTAGCAGTAAAGGAATAGGGATGCAGTGGGCAGCAGCCCAACAGTTCCTGCTTTATAAGGCATTAAAATAACCATCTGTGGGTCAGGAAGGAGCCAGCACACCCAGAAAACCACAGGGCATGGTTGCTCCATCATTATAAATAAGGGCCCGCTGTAAGATCTAAGCTGAGTAGAAGGTATGAATTACTACAGACACCTACTAAACAGGCACAGCTGCACCTCCCTGCATGAACTAGGCAAGTCCATGGACCTGACCCCTTGCAAATAGGTGAGCAAAGGATTCAGAAGGGCCCTGGAAGGGAATCTTGTTCTGAGGGAGGTATCTGAAGCAGGATGTTAAAGTATACTTCTGCCTTACTAGCCCAAGGAAAGTGAAAAAGGTCCTTTCACAAGGAAATCTTTGTACCTGCTGGTCAACAGCTACAGCATCTAGTCCATTATACATAATATTGACCCAGCCATCCTTGGAAGCCAGAACAAAGAGGGACATCAGAGCCTGCAACATACAAAGCAAAGCAGATGTGGAGCAGGTGCATCTGGCAGGCAGGGAGAAAAAAATCATGAGTTTATGGCCTAACACACACAGCACTGAAATACTCTTCCTGCCTGTGTCTCTGCACACATCAAAACCTGCTCCCTCCCATGCAGAGGACAGAGAGGGGATAACAGGAAGCCATGTGCAGTCAAACTCAGCAGAGGAGAGAGGTTGTGAAGACCATCTGCTTTGTGGCAGGAGAAAAGAGAAAATCAAGCTCTCTGCTGCTACAACTTTTCTTTCCCCTACAACTTGTAAACATTATCCTGATACCAACCCACTAGTGACACAGCTTCTGCATGGATACCCATACCAAATAATCACTCACTCTGGCCCAGGGATCAGGCTTTCCAGGCAGTGTATCTGTACCCTGGAGAGGAGTATACGTATAGGAGGAGACAGAGGCAGGGGCTGTGACACACTCACCTGTCCCAGGTTGTCGAAGTTATACTTGTGGTGTACCCACTTGTAGTTGGCAGCCATGCAGTCGGACCGGTTGGTGATGTTCCTGATGTCGACTCCCAGGCAGTGGTAGAACTTGCCCTTGAAGAGCTGCAGGAGGGGAATGACCCCATCAGCGCCTTTCCCCACGGGGTTCCCCATGCTCCCTGGGATGTGCAAAAGCTCCCAAAATGCTGGGTGGGCTGCAAGACCGCAAGCCATGTGGAGCATAGCAGGGACACCACCACCACAATGTAGAGCACAGGCTCAAACATTGCTAAGGAGCCAGGACCACCCCTGTAAACTCACACCTGGCTTTTCAGCCTCCTCCACCCCCCCAGGCCAGCAGTGACTGTAAGTCCTTACCATCTGACAGCCCTTAGGGAAGACTTTTTGGGTACAAAGGGAAAAAGTATCTTCTAATCAGTCCCCTAGAGTAATCTTCTCTCCCTGCTTCCCAGTTACTGAGAGTGCTGATGGGAAAAGATCTCATCTGAGGGTAAAGAACCAGAAAAAGCCATCCTCTTCTCATTTACCTCTCTTTTTTTTTTTTTTGACAAGACTGCACTGCACTGCTGTGGCTCTCCTGCCCAGGGCTCCTTTCCCCATATAGAAGGTACTGGATTGTGCATTTGTACAGATGCATCAGAGCAGACTAAGTATAGCACATTCCCTGAGATGGAAGTAACGCCCACACCCTTGCTCCTCTGCAATGCAACAGCCAAAAATAAAGAGGATTAAATAAAAAAATTAAAAAGAAGGTTGTGGGTGGATTTAGGGCTCAGAGTGAGGGGGAGAAACAGAGCTAACTGGAGGTAGGGTTCATGCAAGCAGGCACTGAACTGCTTGCCTCTGTGAGCCGACATGGATGTGCCCAGTGAGCCCTATGCTGTGCCAGCCCTGGGCTCTCCCTATAATGTTGACCCAAACTCTGATCCAGCTCCTGCCAGGTGCGTCTACTTCTTTCTCTCACATCCAACAATGTCTGCCCTTGCTGAGCACCTGTCTGTCCTTGCCAAAGGTTATAGGTTCATTATGTGGGAGACAGCTTGTGGGGGAAAGCTGGTGCAGAAAATTTCCTGGCTTGCCCATCCCTCCTGTTCTGCTTTGTTCCCCACGTTTGTTGTAGGACCTGGGGGTACAGAGGTGCCCATGGTAGTAGGGGTGGGGGTACAAGGGCTGTTTGATGGACAGTAACAACCTACCTGCACACCCAGGATGCCAAAGATGATGAAGAAAGCACAGCAGATGAGGACAATGTTTCCAATGGGCTTGAGGGAAGAAATGAGTGTCTCCACCACCAGCTTCAGGCCAGGGGCTCGACTGATGACTCTGGAAGGGAAGGAAGGGGAAGAGTGATAGAGGGGCAGGGCAGGGATGTTTGGCCTAAGCTAAGCATTTTCAGCAGCAGCAGGCCCCTGCTCTCCCTATGCAGTGACCCATCAGTAGAGATGACCCTCCCGTAACCAAAAAGCCTCTTCTCTCCCACAGGTTTGGTGTCTGACGAGGTACCTCTAGCATCAGACCCATATGGCTAAGGGGGACCTCCCCGCGTCAAAGACAACAGTTTGCCTGGCACAGCTGGATCTGACTCTGGCACCCTTCCTGGGGAGAACCAGTGGGAAGAAGGGGCTGAGCAGGGCTCGGTGGGATTCTGACCGGAGGGGACGTAAGGTGCGCAGCAGCCGGAGAACTCGTAGCACCCCCAGGATTTTGGCACCACCAGCAGAGGCCACTGAGACCACAATGTCAATGAGAGAAACGAAGACCAAGAAGCCATCCAAGATGTTCCAACTGCTGCGGAGATAAGCCTGGTCCCCAAAATACAGGCCTAGAGAGACTACCTGCAAGAGAGAGGAGAGGGGAGGAGGTGAAATGGCTCCTCCACGTTACCCAGTAGAGGGCAACTATGGAGAAAGTTGGAAGGTGGGGAATAGTTATCAATTCCTCATGACACTGAAGTGTATCTCATATATTTTCACCTGGATGTCTGTGAAGGAGAATGTCTTTGGGGAAAGTGGTGGCACATGACTCCAGAAATAACAGGGCCATGGCATCTTCTCATCTTTTTTTCTACTTCCCTGAGTAACAGGGAACATGCAGGAAACCTTTCCCTGCCATACCACAGACCTGGGGCAAGTGTCCCTGTTCAAAGGTTACCTGGGAGGTAAAGTCAGGCACCTAAATCCATACTTTGGCTCTAAGGGAGTAGCTTTTCTTGTCAGCAGTTCTCAAAAACAGCAGGTGCTACAGAAATTGCTGGCCATGGAGAGAGCTTAACACCCTGGAAATAATGGCCAAAATTCAGGTATAAATTTTAGGGGTTTAACTTCAGGCACACACTTTTAGGGCTCTTCCCCATTCACAAGAAGGGAATAACATGGTTTCCTGATTGTTGCAAAGTACTTAGACATCTATTGAATAATTATCTCATTTAAGAACATGTTATTAATATTGTTGTTATTTCCCCATTCTTGCTCCAGAAGAAAGGGAATGGACATTTAACATCATTACAAAATCCATACCTAAAGGTCAGCTACCCCTCACGGATACTAAGATCCAGTTGGATCTAAAGCCTAGGATAAACATCCCCTTCGCGCCTGACAAGATGGGACTCAACCCCAGGCAGTATCTGCCTTTGCCAAGATAGAGGAAAGGCCTGGCACACTGAAAAGAGGTACAGATTTTAAAAGGGTGCTGAGCAAATATGAACCATGTCTGACATGGGAAAAAGGCCCTGAGCTGCTCAACTTCAGTAACTTACCTTCAGTGTCATCTCAGCTACAAAAATTGCTGTGAAAATGTAGTTGGACACAGTGAGAAAGATCCTCTCCTAGAAAAAAAACCAAAACAACAAAACAAAGAAACAGATAAAGATCTTAAATGTATCTTGATTTCTTGTTACTCTGTCAGGTTTCTCTGATAATATCTTTTGCAATCCTGTGAAGGACCCGAAAGTTGGTGAAATAAGGGAGATGCCCTTGGCAGAGGTCAGCGCTAGGCAGCTTTCAGCTCATACACCTTGGCTCAGCCCTGTGCCACAGTTGGGACAGGATCCTGTCCATCTCTGGAAGAGCATAGTGGATGGGATTTGCAACGCATCCTGCAAATCTGGTTTCAAGGCACTCTCTGCCCTGTTCTACCAGTGCTGCTCAGTCCTGACCTGCTGCGCTGACCTGGGACTACTTCCCAAAGAGCTGCTGACCACTGACCACAGATTGTATCCAAGTGCAGTGGAGTCTGGGAGTCAGCTAGGGCAGACAAGCAGAAAAAGTAATTTCACTTGCCAGCTTGAGCCATCTCCAAAATAGCTCAAGAGTAGCATACATGAATGATGGTATGCCATTTGTACAGGATGGAAGCTGCTTCTATCTTTCGGTTCCCAGTCCTTGTCCCTTTTGCCATTCAACTCTTCTATGCAGATTCCTGAAGGACTCTCTTACTTTCAAACACAGAAGGAATCAGGATTTCTGTATTATAAAATGGGTTGCCCCATTATAAGACCCTGCAGGGGAAGCACACGCTATGTTAATTACTAATACTTGGGTATTGAATAAATGAGTGGGAGCTGGTGTTTAATGATGATGTTCTTCCCAAGGTCATACCAGTGTTGGGAACACTTAAGAACTACTCTTAGAGGTTATGCTAAAAAGAAGGTGGCAGGTAATTGTGCTCACCGTGCTTCTGTGCTCAATCTGCGGTCTCTCCAGGGCAATCGTGATGCAGTTCAGGAAGATGAAGGCCAGCACAACATGGTCAAAGAGCTTGTGAGCAATGATGGTTTGGCAGAGGAGGCGAAACCTGTAAGAGAGTTCCAGTAGGCATCTGTGCCTCAGGCAGAGCAAGTCAAGGAGCTATGAGGACAGAGAATTAAGAGTTCTGGCCAAAACTGGGCTCTGACATAGCAGCTTTCCTATCACTGATACTGATGTCTGTTGATACGGCAATATCCCAGGATGGTCCACAGTCATACAAGGAGTCTGGAACAGCACAAGGGCATCCTAACCATTATGACTGTGCTCCTATCTTGCCTTGTAAAGAAGAAGCTGTGTTTCAGTTTTCCTCCCAAACTTACGCTTTGTACCTACCCATGGCAAAGAGGCCACATGCTGAAAGCTGAGGAGTGGCAGGTAGGTTGTCAGTCATGGGGACCACACTTCTGTCCACTCCAAAAGACACTGTGCACATTAACACAGGTGTCAGAGCAAAAAGCTCTCCCTTATGATCTACAATGAAAGCCCTTTCTTTTCAAGGGGTGATGCACATCATTGAGAATACTGTTGGCTGGGGTACATGGACGTTTTCTGCTGGTGGGAAGACCTCTTTAGTAGGAAGAATTTAACCCAAATTTCTTTTTTAGGCAAGAAGAATACTAACTTTACCCTAAAAGGTGTGATATGACTGCTGATAAATTGGTACTGGGCCTGTAAATGAAATGGAGAGACTGTTCTAGTACCAGGGGAGGAAATATCAGTATAATGGAGTCATTAATAATACATTCTTTATCCTTTTTGGGTTAACATTAGTATTCCCTGCCTTGCTTTGTTATAAATATTTATGATTACACAAAATAAAATTGGGATGCTCCAAAGGGAGGGAAGATCATAATAGCTATTTAGAATGCTCAACCTTTGTTTCATCTCCAGAATCTAGGAAAAGTTGTTTGGCTGTAGAAGGAACAGTGGAGGAGAAAGTACTTCCCAGCTAGTAAGTTTAAAGTCACAACCTAACATCAGGGGATGTGGCCAGCACAGCAAGAGAATCTGCCCCATCTTTTCAACCTTCTCATAGCAAAAACTGCACAAACCTGTTTTGTGGAGAGAAGAGATATATGGACCAGTCTTCCCGTAACTCACACCAGTCTGGCTTATAGACTTCCATCATCTTCTGGATGCGAAAGCACAGGCTCTGTAGGGGTGCAGAAGAAGCAAGTGCCTCTGGTTACGTTCCCATTTACCTGAGAGACACTCTTCCTTTCACATCTGACCCAGAAACATCACTACCTGCAGTCTGCCAGATGCACTACCTGCCTTTAAGCCCCTGAATGAGGAAATCAACTCAAAGGCAACAAGTCATGGAAAAGAAGGTAGAAGCTGCTTTGCCAGGGCCTGTTTACTTCTTGGCATCTGGTTTCTCCTCCAGATCACAACAAACAAAACTGCTGGTGTCCCTTTTAGATCAGGATGTTGTCCAAGACACCTTCTCAGAGCTGTTGGAAGGGCTTTGTTAAATTAGGACAATGTTACCTCCCTACCTCAGCTAAATGAGAAGCCAGGACAAAAAGGCCTTCTGTTGGCACTTGGGCTTGGAATTTCATACAGCACATACGTCTGTCCAAAATTTCTACTGACCCTGCCTCCACCTTTTCCACCCTTTGATTTGCTCACAGATTGGGCGTTGCTGTCTCCCACACTGGCACCACAAAACTCACTTGCCTTGTCTCTGGTGCCTGTGTTTCCTGCTCTGGTCTGCTGACGTTCCCCATGCAAAGCTCCCACTGCTCCCACAGCCTGACTTCTCCTATCCTGTAGAGATCACTGGTTGCACAACTCTGAAATAACAGCTCCCAAATGACCATGAGCACATCTCACATCTGCCTTCCTCCTACCATCCACCTGTACAGTTGCCTTGCAGGCAGCCTCACAATGTGCTTTGAGCTTGTCTGTGACAAAAAGGTCCCATCTGCACTCAGCGCTGTCCTCCAGCTTTCCTAACGCATCTTGGCAAGCTCTCCTATCTACATACAAGGAGAGTGAAACTTGAGGATGGATTTGGTGTTTCCCACAACATTGCAGCGTAATCCCACGTTCCCTCCACCAAATACGCACATAATCTATCTCTTCATCATCCTCTCCCCGCTCCTTGCGATTGTTCATCTTTGGGAAGATCTCCTTGACAATACTGGGCATTTTGCCATTGCAGTCCTGATGCTCGCTGGCTCCAGGCAGTGCTCCCAGCTTATGGGTCACTCTGTGGCCGGATGGGACCGAGGTCAACTCCAGCAGGTCACAGGAGCCTTTATTATCCAGAGAGAGTGTCCGGCGGTGATGAAATACCCTTCCTGTCCCATCCGTCTCCCCATGTGCTGCCCTGTGAGCTTCCCCAGGCAGGAGGGACTCGTGCTCGGCTGAGGGATGTTTGTGTTTCAGGCTGTGTCCCCGGGCCAGGCTGTTCCAGCTGGAGCGACGGCTCCCCCAGGCTCCACTGCGGCCCCAGGCACCATAGTGGGAGCTGCGGGAACTGGACTGTAAGAGAGTGGGATGGAGACACAGTGACTCCAGGCACAAGGAGAGAGCATGTGATGCTATTTCAGATCGCACACTTCTCCCTGGGCCCCTAAGCCAGAAGGTTACCATTTATCAGATGTTGAGCAAGTTGCACGGTGGGAATTTAGCAGCAATCTCTGTAAATCTGACAATAAATTGATAATGAATTAGCAATGGTTTTGGCTGTGATTACTTTATAGCACCATCTGTGTGCAAAGCACTTTTGGGGAAGGTAAGTAATAAAGCCAAAGGCCAGGTGCCTGATGTTGTTACTTACACCATCACAGAGCAAGAATAAAGCTCTCAAAAAATCTGACTGGCAGCTTTTTACGCTGCCCTGGGGTAAAGGATAACGCAAAGTACAGGATGATGGATAATCTGACACACTGTCTTTTGAGTACAGTCTTAGTAAAAGGAAGAAATGAGAGAAACAGGCTTGTTGGCTACAGTTTAGTTCAACCACATAAGTAACTTATCATGTAGTACGTGGCTGCTAGCTCTTCCTGTTTAGAAATAACAGGGGCATGAACCCTTTAAGCACTGATACACCCCTCAGAGCTGTGTACATCAGTGGGTAGAAAGCCTAGAAGCTAATGTGACAAGGTGGACAGGTCTGAGATGCACTGGTTAGACAGCCTGTAGTGTTTGGGGAAGTGCCACGGGGCAGCAGGATCTCCTACGGGGAGCTCCAAATCAAGATTTTTCTCTTCATTGTTACAAAGTTCACAGAAAACCCACCTGTAATGGGACTAGGCATTACCTAGATGTTTCTGTGCTCTTAACTCACTCAAGGCATCACTTTGCGTCCTGCACTCAAACAAAACAAAGAAAGGGGAAGGGGACAAAATGTGTTTCTCTCAAAGAGGGAGACTGTCTTTTTGGTGTTCTCCCTTTCTCACACTTAATGGAATATAGATATATATGTCTACAGATACCTAGAGAGAGAGAGAGGGAGAGAGAGACACAGAGAGAGAGAATGGAATCCCACACTCAATGCAATATAAGTAAGCAACCTGGAAATAGACTTCAAAAATCTGGAAATTTAGATAAGTAATGTGAACTGATCTGGATTCCAAAGACAGGAAATGCACTTGTGTTAGAAGCCTGCAGCAGCAGTGAAATCCTTCACAGCAATCTCCAGATGATGAAAGAAAGACAATGTAGTGCTTGGCCTTCAAAAGAAGGGTACGACACACTTTTATACTCAGTCACTCACCAAGGACCGCTGGTCATGGGTCATTCTCCCCAGAGACATCACACTACTCTTCCGGGATCCAACAGCAACAAGGATCTGGTCAAGTTGCAGGGAGTTGCGTGAAGAATTGGTGACGCCCCCAGCAGCCACTGGTGGGTTGGAAGAGGGCAAGGATGGGTCCAAGTGTCCATTAGGTGTTACAGGAATTGCACAGAGCTTGGGATCTGAGTGGAAAGATGAAGAAAGAAGAATGAGAAAAGAAGAAGGTGGGTTCCTCACTATGCAGTGACTGCTTTGATGTTTTACCATGTTAACAGCAACTAACAGAATATTAGCTCTTTAGCATCAATCAACATCAATTCCCCTGATTTGGGGTGTTGTGACAAAAGCAGTGCAAGTTGGAAAGACTCTTGTAGAAAGACTTGCAGTCTGAGGAAAGACTTTGAGGGATGAAGACGTTACCAGGCAGTTTGTAGGCAGACTGTTCCAACTGTTAACTATCTTTCCTTGAAAATATGCAGCTTTTTTTCAGCCTGAATTTGTCTAGCTTAAGCTTCAAACCTTTACAATCTCATTATGCTTTTTTCTGCTCAATTAAAGAGCTATCTACCATCAGAAATCTCTCCTTATGGTCTGCAATTACAGAGCGAGTGATCAAGTCATTTCTCTGGTTTCTCTAAACTTCATTACTCTCTCGCTGAGGCAAGACTTCCAGACTCACCTGAGTTCTTTTTAATGTCTAGGTATCCCTTCTACAAATGTGGGTCCCATATTTGGACACACTGTTCCTGAAATAATGCCCCTGAAGCTAAGCAGAGACAGTCTCACTTCTGACTTCCAGTTGCTGTTCTGGAGGTCATTCAAGAACTGCTCCACTTAGCTACCACATTCCTCAGGATGCCAACATGTCTCTAGTTTTTCCACAGACAGCAACACAAACTACCATAAAATTCAAAATGACAACTGGCAAGTTCTTGGAGATGAGAGTGAATTTTCTGCAGAATCTGTTTTTAGATTTCTCACCGAACAGCAATAGGACATAAGCAAACTGTTTGAGCTGTCGTACCTGGGCCTTCCTGGACCTCTTGAAACTGATCAAACTCCTCCATGTTTGATGAACTCTGGTCTTCATCTGAGTATGACCGGTTGGCATCCCCCTGTAACACACAAATTTAGAATTTGGGAACTCAAACAGAAAAGACCATGTGTTCTTGTCTTTCATTGCTGGAACAACTGCAAAATTGTCCTTGGCAGTCAGGCATCCAGTGTGATCACTGGAAAGAATCTTGTGTGATTTGGGATGGCTGATGTACTGCGTTCTTGCTTTTGGAGGGGTAAAGAACTCGCCCTAGGGCAGGGGCTGTTGCGGTACACAAGATGAAAATTGTGAATTCCCTTTCAGAGAGCTTGTCTCTTTCCCTACAAGGGTTAACACTGCCTTTTTTTTCTCTTTTCCAATTAAAGAGCACCCTAACTTCAGGAGTGAAATGACAGAGGTGTGATACTTTGGAAGTCATCCAGTCCAGTATCCTTAAAGTGTCCCAAAGTTTACCTTTTTAGCACCTCTATTCCTCCTCCTGAGGAGGCCTTGGTGGCAACTTACCTCAGCCTGGAACCCCTCCACGAGAATGGCCACCAGCAGATTGAAAAGTACATAATTGCCAAATGTCATGAGAGCCACAAAGTAGAGGGAAGCCCATGGTGAGGTGGAGGCCATGCCATTATAGAGTACGACATTCCAGTCCTCCTGGGTTAGGATCTGCAATCAGAAGCTAAAGTCAGATAAACGTGAAGGAAGAACACAATGGGGGTTCCCAGAAAAGGACAGTGAATACACATCAGGAGCACATCAGGCCTCTTAACTTTCCCATAACCACACACCCACTGTCATCATCCAGCTGTGGTTCTGCGCCAAAAACATCAGCTGAGCAAGAGGAAACGAGCAACAATTAGGGCAGTAGTGAGATGATAGTGTTAAACTTGGGAGATGCCACAACAGGAGTGACCTTTGCAGACTGTCCCCAGGGAAGGAAGGAGCTCCCCTGTTAGAGATATATACCAGTTGTTTGGTTCCAATATGCAATTGCTCTTCCTCCAAATATCACATGACAGAGTGTTTTATGCAGCCTTTTGTGCTGTCAGGAGTGACTGCAGTGCTCTGCAATGAGGAAAAAGCATCTCTTGATCCTCTTCACTTTGCCCTGGTCCACCCATAAAGAGCAAAGTGGGCTCACCTGGAAGACAGTGACGATGGCCCAAAGTAGGGAGTCAAAATTCTTTCGGTCAGGAACTGTATCTCCTGTGTCTGTCCTGAGGCTGAACTTGCAACCAAAGATGTGCATTCCTAGGATGCTTTGGGACAAGAAGTGGAGATGGTGTCAAATATAAATATCTCTGGTACCACAATGAGCTCATCAGAGTAATTCTCTTTTTCCTCATGAAAATATAATGTTGCGACACAGCAGCAAGGAACACGGCAACACAGTCAGACTACTAGGACCTACTTGTGAAGAAGGAACTGCATATTGCACCCCTGTATTTCACAAAAAAATTTGGTTTCCATCTGTGCTCATTCAGAGCTCACATATTACCCCCAACCTGTCATTCACATCTGTTCTCTCTATTGTTCGTTTGCTGTCATATTTCTTCATCTTATTATCAGTGCATGGGATGCACAGACAAACTTTCTTGGTTGCTTCCTGCTGCCCTTCTGGCAGTCAGCCTCCAGACTGAACTGTTCCCTGTAGCCAGTGTTGATTAGCAAGAGACTTGACCTATCCTGCGATGAGACATTATGCTCAACATCCACATTTGGTGACACTATTTTGACACCCCATCATTGCCAAAATCTTCAGCAACTGAACCCAATTTAGTGCGGGAGTAAGTTCAGCCCTTACAAACAAATGGTTGTCAGTGCTGCCTTAGCCTATAAGAGCAATGGGCAAGATGAGTTACACAATCATGCTCTGAAGCTCTGTCCCCGTGAGCCATGCAGTGCCACTCCAAAACACTGTGAACCAACTAACTGCCTCCTCACCTGAATATAAAGATGAAGAGCATGAGGAGCATGCAGAACGTGGCTACGTTGTCCATAGTCTTCATCAGCACCACAAGCTGGCGGCGCAGCGCAGGCATGAAACGCACCAGCTTCAGGACCCGAAGGAGTCGGAAAGTCCTCAGCACAGAGAGGCCTCCATCTGACTGGCCGATGATCTCCCAGATGCTGTCCAGAGAGGCACAGGGAGCATGAGGGACAAAATGAAAGACAAGTGAACAAACAGAAAAGAGGGAGGAGTAACAGTGCTGTTTTCATAGCTGCACTGGCAGCATAAGGAGTTGAGAGAGAAAATCTGTCTGAGCAAGATAGTAGTATATAGTATGGGTTTATACTTATGTGTAGAAAGCTGCATTTATGCCTTAAGAACACGAACGTGGCACTGCATTTTGCAGGAATGAGGGAAGGATTTCAGCATTAAATTCCAGCAAGACAAGTTCTTCTATCATATATTAAACCTTTGTAGCTTCCTCAATTTGTGCATTTTAAAAATATTTCACAAAAATATTTGTTGTGGACTTAACAAGGCAGCTGCAATCGCCTCCATTCTACAGAGGAGAGAACTGACGGACAGAAATGCTCTGTAGCTTGTGTTGCACCAACATAGAGTGTTGGAAAAAGACAGGTTGGTCTCCCAATCCTTGGTCTTGTGTTCAGCTCAGATCCTCCTAGAAGAGCTGCTAAATCCTTTTTCAAAAGTGCCCAAGCTCTGTGGTATGCTTTTCTATATCTATTTCAGTTGATCCCCAAGGCCCTGGTCACCTGATGATGACGATGATACTGTCGAAGATGTTGTAGGGGTTGCGAAGGTAATCAAAGAGACCAAAAGCAGCAAGTTTCAGGATCATCTCCAGAGCAAACATGCTTGTAAAGACCACATTGCTGATCTCCAAGATGTTGGTCAATTCCTCTGGCTGGAGAGAATGCAAATTCAGAGAGTCAGAACTGAAACAGTCAGACCTGAAATTATAGGAAATAAAATGCCACCCTTCCCAGAGTATAGGGTTTGTTGGGAGCTGCAAAGCTTCCATTGGCGAGATTAAAGTGGAGCTGAATAGAGCCACTTGCACTCCAATTCCTTTGAACTTCTGCTACCTTCATCATGGATTATGTCCCTAACAAATTTTTTTACGAGAGGTGGTCAGGAGCCCCACAGCCATTCACACAGACAAGGTTGACCAAGGGTCTCCCACATTCCCCTTCATATCCCATTACCTCAGCTAAAGCTGATTTATTTTGTGCAAAGGACTTGAGTATTTTTTGAAACAGGGCAAAAGTGGCTCATTTGCCATCAACCTTTTCCTTTAAGAATTTTGTACTCTTAGGTTTCCACAGGGAGCTGACACTTTTTTTTGCAGAAATTCTGAAAATATTTGAATGACAGGAAAACAGTTCCCCATCTTCCTCCAAATCTTTTTTTCTGTTACACCTCTGATACAACTTTTACTCCCTGTCTTCCCCAGCAGAGACGGGTGTGTTTGTGTGTATGAGACAAAGTATTTTAATGATTCCATCAGTGGAACAAGTCTGAACAAATTAAATTACTCTTCCTTTTGTTTTCCGAATTAATGACCTTTTCTTCAGTGTGTGTGCAGCCTTGGAAACTTCTCTGACAAGGTCAGGAAAGGGTCTGGACCATTTCCTCAGGAATGATGAAACGAGGGACACAGAGGTTGTGCTGATATCATTGATGAGGGATGCCAGCAACCTGCCATCCCCTGTGAAATGGAGGCATCTCCTGAACTGATTTTGGGATGGATTTATGGGCTCAAAGCACCTCTCACCCAGGGACTAGGACTGCACCAGACAAAACAGCAAGGGCTGAGGTCTCACACAAGATCAGATGCATGAGGGGTAAGACATGCAAGCCTGTCCATGTTTGCACATACTCAGGCACACACATACATAGCCCAGGAAGACTACCACAGCAATGGCAAGGTACAAAATATTGACAGAGTGAACAAAAAATCCCTCCCAGGGTAACGGGTTGCATCTTGGGCCAGTCTAGACAACCCATAGCCTTCAGGCTGCATGAGACTTCTAGGGCAGTCAGTTCTGGTTCTGACCCCCTGCCTGAAGCTGGGGGCTGCTTTAACCCCTGCTCTGAGGCCCCCATGGGCCCAGATCCTCCCAGGTGTGTGAACTGGAATCTGCTCCTCACGTTTATGGTTTCCCGTGCCCTTTGCTAATTTCTTGCACTCCTCGTTGCAGCTTCTTAGTCCATCTCTTTAAAATGAAAAAAGAGGAGATGGCTCAATTTCCATCCATAATTACATCTAAATAACAAAACCATCCTAAAAATTACAGGGAAAGGAGGGGGGATAAAAGTGAAGAGAGAAAGAACAAGCAAGGGTACATGGGAAGAGAGAGATGAAGATTACTTCAGGGAGACTCAGGCAGTAAATGACACTTGCCGAGAACATGAAGTCTATATGCTAAACAGAGATGCCAGTTTCAGTCTGAAACAAATTATTATGTTAGTGAAAATGAGTAATGTAAAAAAGCAACAGGTTATGATGGTTGATTTACCCATCACACTTGGAGCATCACTTGAACAAAACTGTGGGAGCCGAATATTGGGGCGAGGAGAGTGGCTTGAAGGGGAGAGAGATCCCAGAGGCAAAGCATGCCCAGAGCCACATTATGATGGTGGATTATCCTTGTCTTTGCTTTCCATACATTCTCTCTTGTGCTTTGTAGTGAGTAACTGATGTTTGAAAAGCCATGCTTGCCTTTGCCTGTGGAAAAGGTCACCTGTTCCTCAGTCTCTCCTTCCCTCCTTAACGTCTGTTTCTATAGTCCAACCTCACCTGCCATCTGTTTCTAATGGGTCATCAATCAGCCTCAGAAAAGCATCTTTCCTAGAGAAAGGAGCAGGAAAAACTGGGCAGAGAAAGAAAAAAGAGATGGACAGAGAGAAAATCAGCAAAAGAGAAATGAGAAAACAAAGCTAAAAAAAAATAAACTCACTGGCATCCACAATAAGTAGAGAAGAGAAGAAAAGATACGTTTTAAACGGAGTAGGAAAGAAGTAAAGGCTGGGGAAGGAAGAGCAACACAAAACAAATGAACTCAAGAAAAAAAGAGGAGATAAAGAGAGAGGAGCCAGCTGGAGAAGCACTATCACTGTCTAAGGGCAGATCCAGCATTGCAGTAGTTTCTGGAGATACCAGTAATTTGACAGAGTGTAAAGAGCCATCAGCTGGGGGCCAGGGCTGCAGGGTGGGAGCCACCAAGGGTTATGTCCTGTGTGGAGATGCCCTTGTTCCTGGGTCAGTGTGGCCGTGAGAGACAATGGATGAGGTGGGTGGCTGGAATACTGCTGGTCCAGGGGACTCTTCTCTGGCCAGGGAAGTGCAAACTTGATGAAGAGACAAATGAACAGAGAAAAAGTGGTTCTCTCCTTTTCTTCCTACTGACATACAGTATCTCCAACACAGTGGATGTGTCACCTCACAGTTGTGAGGGCTCCCCAAGCTCCCACACACAACACTCAGGCATTCGTCATCAAAACCCTCGGCAAACCTTCCTCCTCCCAGGTTTACCTAGAAACTCTAAATTGAAGCATCCACAAGGAGAGGCCTGAACTCAAGGCTATTTTAGTCCAAGAAAAACCAAAGAACACTGAAATCTCCCCACAAGCAGTCTGTTCGTATTGCCAAGACAGTACAGATTGATTTACCCATCACACTTAGAGGGTGTATTGAGCTGAGTATTGAGGTAAGGAGGGTGGTTTGAAGGGGAGAGAGACCCCAGAGGCAAAGCATGCCCAGAGCCAGTGTTTGAACCAGAATGATTCACTAACTCTGTGTACAGACCTCTTTCCCAATCCATGAAACTATCTAATTCACATCTTCAGAGCATGAAGTGTTTCATCTCTAACAATGTAGATCAAATACTGAGAGTGAAATATATGATTTGGATTTACTTCAGAATACTTGTCCAGTGATCAGAAACTAGAACTGGGGCAATAGAGGGCAGCAGCTCAGCTTTTTCCTCCTTTTCAGTTTCTTACCAACTTTGGAGTTCTTTTGTCAGATTATACTGAAAATGTAATTAGTACATTATCTGACAATAGCCAGAAAGTCCTGCACCATAGGAAAGGTTAAGAAGATGCAGATCACCAGGAAGCCCCTGCAGGAAAAGTTTCTCCTAATCAGGAGTAAATCTGCATCTGTCTAGAAACTGAATAGTAATTGATGTGATCTATGCAGACCAACCCTACCAAACTGCACCTGCACAGCACTGCCTCTGAGGACACAAGAAAGAAATATTCCATAAAGGAGTCTCTCCAGCCTATTTCTACTCACAATTTCAAAGTCACTTGACAATAATTAGAAGAGCCATAGAAATCAGCCATGAAACACACCAAGTAGGTTTTATATAGTTTAAACACCACCCCACAACCAATGCAGGATTTCATGATGGCTTGTTATACCCTAGTTTTACAAGACTGAAGTAATGTGGTTTCATCTACTACCCCAGGGAGACCGTTCTATCATTTACTAAATGTCAGTACGATGAGCTGGCTTGGACATTTGCTGAATGTTTCTGACAAGCAGCAAATAGTAAAAAGAGAAGCAATACCTGTAAAATATGAACTAGTGAATGCAATAAATGCTGGTATAAAGGGAAATCACACAAGCTAAAGGATATGAAGATACTGATCCACAGTGCGGGTCTAGTTAGGAAACAAGGGATCATCTTATGATCCACACAGACAGACCTCATAAAGTATTGATCTGATGCATGAAGGAAAACTGTAAGTAGATACTGGAGAAGATAAAACAAGTTACTCAGCAATTGTCTAAAATGGCTGCTAATGGCAAAGAGGTTTGAGTCCAACAGACCATTCAAAAAATACCTGATGTGAAAGGCAACCTGGGACATTCAGCTGGGACCAGCCTTTCATCTTCATGCTGAATAAGGGAGAAAAGTGGGCAGCACCAGATCTACTGTGAATATTTAAAAAAAGTAAGCCTCTTAAAAGGATCCTTCTGGACAGCCACAAGAATCTAATATTTTCTACATTGGATTTTAAAAATAGACACTTCCAAATAGAAGCAGATCTGAAGAACTGCAAAAACTATTTCAAGCAGGACAAAGCTTGAAATGATGGGTTTTGGCTTAGGCAATGTCTCAGCAATATCTGAAGGCCTAATACTGAGAATATTACATGGTATATTGCACACTGAAGATTTGTATAAACTTATCTATTTACAAGTGATAACTTGTGATAAGCTCATGGATTAAAAATGACTCATAGCAATGCAGTTTCTCCCAAAATTAGTTGATTTCCCTCACAAGAAATATATAAGGAGGTGGGAAGCTGCCTTGGCCACACAATCAGGACAGGACAAAGGAATGGATGAATAAGATAAACGAAGCCAAATTCCAAGGTTATCTGAATCCAAGTAAAGTTGTTTGAGTTGTTAAGTCTCCTCGAAGAAAAACATTGTGAGTATTAAATCCCTGGATTGTAACAAACAAATTGTTTTAATTAATGTTTTTCTATCTGTTGGTGAAGACTTGGGAATTGAAGGTGAGACTCACACATGGGCTCTGTCCCTTGGATTCCCGTGTTTCTGAGCCTGAACCTTGTGCCTCACTCCTGCAGTCCTTCTCACTCCCTGACCTAACAGTTGTGCGTGCTTTGGTGAGCTCGCCTGTGAATAGTCCATGGAAAAGTGGAGCATCAAGGAGCTGATGCACACACCATGAGCTGTTCCCAGGTCTGCTCAAACCTGTGACACCTTCACACATCCTGCCCAGCCAGAAATGACCTCAGAGAGTGGCTGGGGTTGTGATCTCCCATGCACCAGAAAATAAAAGCTCAAGAGGTCTCTATATGCCTTAGCTCTGGGCCAGAAGACATTCATATGATGAAGGAGCTGAAGCAACAGAAGCTTTTTCAGTAACAGGGTGGTGTCACCTGGCAAATCACAGATCTTGGTGGGCAGAGGGGCTTTTCCAGATTTCCTACTGTGAAAATTTGTGTTACTGGGAGGAAAAACAACAGGAAAAAGAGAAAGGAAGGAGAGAAAAGGAGGCAATGAAGTACCAGCCTGAGATGTACTGATAGAATGGTTTGAGAAGAATTGAAAGAGAGCAAAGAAAAGGACAAATGTCTGTGTGCTTCTGAGTTAACTGCTGAGTGAAAAGGACCTGAGTATGGCCTGGATATTCTTGTGCCAGGGAAACAGAATTCAGTACATGTGTTTTAAATAAACAGGCTACACCACATTTTTCAGTTATGATCAATTTGACTGACATCTCTTCTAGTAGAAACAGTATGCAGGGTCACAAGCTTTTCCTAGCTACTTAAGGATAAAAAGTGATAGCATAATTTTAAGGATGTGTCATTAAGAACCTGCTACTAGAAACCCCAAGGCTGTAGAGGCAGATCCCACTGCTGCAGGCTGTACAAACACAGCAGAGGCAGCCGAGAAAGGCTTAAATCTGCACATACAATAGCCAAAACATGAGAGTGAATTCTCTACCTCCAGCTCAAATATTCTTCTGTTAAACTGTTAATTCATGCTGTCTCTAATAAATCAGAATGAACAATGGCTCTCCCTGCTTGGTGTTCACATCTTTAAAACACCAGTGGGCAGTTTTCAAGTTGTCCCAGGCTCCAGTCCATACTCATCTTTCTGCTGTGTGATAGACACATCATTCTTCTTTATCTATTTCCATGAGTTAACCCCTCCAGCCTCTTCTTCATTCTCCTCTCTTTTGAGCTCCCGCCAGTATTTTTCTGGTACTGAAGCATCCAGTGCAATTTTGCATTCTGGGATCAAATTAAGGTTTCCCACCCTTGTATCAGAAACTAGCTGGGCTTTGAAAAATGGTCTAAAGCTTGGCACGTGGGTGGGATCCAGACATCTGAGGCTTCAAATACCAGCTCACACACCGTGTTGCCTCAAACAGGGAATTTAAGAGACAGTGAGTCGCAAGATATCTCCATCCTGATACAGCACAGGACAAATCTGGGTGCCTTGCTTGAACCAGGCACACTGCCTGTCTCTGCTGTCTAAGACTGTGTTTGGGACTAGACTTCACCTTGGCTCCAAAGCTTCAATACAGTCAGCATCTCAGTAGCGCAGCAAACTCCTATTTTTGTGTTTGGGGCAGACACATGGAGCAAACCATGCTCACATTCAGACTAGAAGCATACATCTAAGACATGGATGTACGGCATGGACTCTTTTAATGGAAAGTGCAGCAGAGCTACCCAACAGCAATGCAGATCCAAGGTCATGGACACACTTGACGCCCTCTGAAGTTGGTTCTGCACATCACAAAGTAGACACAGTTTCTGTTTCCCAGCTATAAAATAAGGGCACACAATTCTTCTCCATTTCACAAGTCTGTCATTAAGATAAAGTGCATGACTGATTCAGAGCTGCCTACAAACTATTGGCATGAAAGTCAAACCTGTGCCCACACCTGCTGTTTGTGTCTGACCTACCTATTACTTCTTATTCACAGGGCAGAAGAAAGGCTCAAGCTGACTGCGCCCCCAGCATAACTGAAGATGGGAGGTGGTGCCTTTCCTAGCTTTCTTGTATAGACAGAATGTGCTCAGGCACCTCTTAATTAAGTTGGGAAGGCTAGCAAGCTAATGGATTTGAATTGAGATGCTGGTGAAGTGTCTGTGACATCCCCAGAGGGCACATTAAATTAACCAAATAGACTAAGGATTCAGTAAGCTCATGAAGAGAGACATGAGTGAGAGAAATGGGGAAGATGGAAGAGATGAGGGTGAAGGAGAGACAAGCAGATGGAAAGAGAAGATAGGGCAAAAAAAAGAAAAACAGAGGGATGAGCAAGCAGGGAGGAGGAAAAGAGAGGGGTCGAAAAGAGGTGAGAGGAAAATACATGGAGACAGTGAAAGTGATTAAGTGCAGGAATAAGGAAACAAGAGACCCTACAAGATTCTGAGGCTTTCTCCAAAGCCATGCTGGGACCATCTGTGCTGCAGTCTGGGGTCCAAATTGCTCAATTTCTGCCTCCACCGAGTTGCATCAGCTGCTTAGCGAGGCCATAACCCCCAGCAGGACTCACCAGTCCATGTTTCCCACTTTGTGCCCTGAGGTGCCTTACCTGTTCATGGTGCTCGATGCCCATGCTGATAGTGTTCACTAGGATTGCAATCATGATCCCACGGTTGAAATACTTGCTGTCCACAATCACTCGGAGCTTGACCCTCACTTCTCGCCACATGTCACTGCAGAGCTTCAGCCGCCCTCCTTCTTCCACCTCCTCCTCTTTCTCCAGTGCTGAGGCACCCTGGTCCTCTCTGCCGTCCTCTCCTTCCCCTTCATTGGCTCCTCCATCCTCCTGGTCTGAATAAGTACTATCCAGGACAGAGAGCCTCCTGGATGCTTCGTGCTCCTCGCTATGGCATCGTGGGCAGTTGGTGAGATCTGAGGTTGCTGTCACAGCAACAGGCTGGACCAAGCCCGGAGGAGGGCAGCCAAGAGAGTTGTGCTGCTGGCAAAGCCCTGGAAAGAGAAATGGTTATGCTTAAAGGAGAAGGCATTGAAAAAAGACATTGAAATTGGACATGTGTTTGGATTTTGGGTATTTAAACAGGATAACTGGGCTTTTTAGCTGTAAGAATGATTAAACATCTCAAGGTCAGTAATAAAAATCATTGCTGTTGGAGGCTCTACACTGATGAGCTGTGTCTCCAAAAGGCATAGTACTGTTCAGCTTGCCAGTGATTAGGCTCAACAGGAGTTCATGTCCACCAGAGAAAGAATTGTCTAATGCAGAAATTGCAGCTTGAGGCTCAGTAGCTTGTGTTAAGTGAAAACTGAGGGGAAAAATGATCACAAGAGCAGATTTTGTCCTGAACTGCTACAAGTGGGGTCCAAGAACATCCAGGTTGAGTTGAACTCTCTAAATTAGAGAAACTACATTAGCAAATCATCTCAAAAAGCCAGAAGAGGTAGCACAAGAACACTTCCTCCTGATAGTCTGCATTCTGAATCAGAACAGAACTCCTGACTTCAGTAAGAAAACTTAATTTGTGTTCCTTGATCCTCCATTTGGACCTAGAAGGTTAAATGGACACTGGAGGAATGAAACAATTAATTCATTAACACCATGCATAAAGCCTGTAGAAACTTTTCTCTCAGCAAGTAAAGAAAATGAAAGTCTGAGTATGCAAGACCAGCTGAAGGAAAATCTGCTTTTTGCTTGCTAATGGGAGTCAGCAGCCAGTTAATACTAAGTTTGTAAAACCACTTTCACAGTGACTTTTCTGGCAAGGAATCCGATTTAAATGATATCTCATATGATATTTTGCACAACATCATGTGCTCCTGTCAAAAGAAATTATCTCTGCTGCCCTTGCATATCAAACAGACTTCTTCAGCATTGCCCCCTTAGGTTCAGAGGACACCCTACTGCAATTCTACTCTTTGCCTCTTTCTTGAGGTCCCACAGCAACTCATATTGGGAGGATAGCTCTGGAGGACCTGCTGTGTCACCAAGTCCAATCCTTTGTCTGACTTTGTCATATCCCCCTAAGTCTTCTCTCTCCCATACTGCTATCATCACCCAGTTATACCAGACATGGAGCCCTTTACAAGCCTCAGATGGTGCCTTTAAGTTTATCTCTTTGTTGTCTCTGGATTTCAGATCTGGATAACCCACATTCCCTGCTGGTTGCCCCTGTTTTATTCCCATTTTTGGCTGGTCATCTCCACCTTGCTGGTCTGGTGTGCTGGCCATGGTACCACGCTCAATGGCCGATGTTAATTCTAATTCTGTGCTTTGTAGGCACAGGTCCTTTGGCAAGCTGGCACACGAAGATGCTCCCAGTTACTCTCACATTTACACTATTGGCATTTCCAGCTTTACCAGTGTAATCCTTACTGTAATGCCTCTGTTTTTTCCTGTTCATGCCTAGTTTGGCATCACTCGGCTCCACGTTGCCCTGGCGCCAGCTCTGGATGCTGTTGTACAGCCCAAGGGTGCGGCGCTTGGCTTTGCGCACGATGTGGCAGACGTATTGGAAGATCTCCTCGTAGCAGTCTCCCGGCTCCATGTAGCTGGCAACTGTGCTGGAGGAGAGGTACCGGGCCCTCTGCTCCTGCATCAGCTGGTGCTCCCGCTGCTTAGTCTCCGAGAACTGTGTGGCGATGACCACCAGGCACAGGTTAATCATGAAGAAAGAGCCCACCTAATAGCAAAGGAGAAGAAGGGATGGTCAATGTCAGCATGAGGAAGAACATGTGGGAGGGGGAATATAAGAGGAGAAATTAACTGGAGGCAGAGGAATGGGAACAAGTCTGCATGTGGAGAAGCGGTTTCAGAGAAAGCCAGGAGTATGTGACCTTGGTTTTGAGATCTCACTAGACACCATTTCCATGCAGAACTTAGAGCTATGAACTGAAATTCAAGAAATACAGGTCCAAACTCTGGCTCTTTTGGTAGGCTTTGGGACCTTTAGCAAGTCACTTTGAAGTTATATACAAAGGGTTTAATGAAAACTGGACTTTTTCTTTCCCTCTCCTTTGCATTAAACAGAAGGTGGGAAGTAGAGAACCAGCTTAGTAGTTTTTTGCTTTCTCCTCTGTTTATTCATTTACTACTGGAAAAATCATGCACTGCCATTTATGATCTTCAGCTCTTGGAGGACATGTCAGTATTCTCAGATCATTTTACGGATGCATCAGTATACCTGGAGCATATTATTAATTTCTACATTTACACCTTAATTCACCATACAGGGAGATGGCACTTTTCTGAAATGAATGAGCTCATGAAATCCAAGAGGAATTTACAGAAACTAATGACTCTGAGAACACTGAATGCTCTGAAAAAACCATGCTTCCTAGCTCATTTCCTATTCTTCTGACACAAGACCTATTATACTAGCTCTTATTTCACTTGTCCATCAGCCTAGGTAGGCTTTCCATTTCAAACACAAAAAACCTACACAACTAACTCTCCCAATTTCTTAGGAACAAACCAAATAAAATGCCCAAGTTCTCCTTGTTCCATACAGAAGCCAAAACATCTACCAAGCTTATTTTACAACTTTGCATGCTCCCTTTAAGCCTCAGTTTTTCTACCTGTAAAATGGAGCAAAGATTTTTTGATGCTGAGAAATCTGGGGGTAAAATTATCTCACTTTGTGTTACATATTATAAAATTAGAAATGAAACTCCACTAGCAGATCTATCCATAGGTAGAGAGATTTAGGATAAAACCTGGACTTCAATATGATGAGAATTTCATACATAAAAGGGCTAGTAACACATTCAAAATCATTTTCAAGAGCTATAATGCCTTGATTGGTGCCTACTCCCCACAGAGTTGTAAGTGTCGATAGGGCATTGATAAAATGCAGAGTCTGAACTCTGAACAAAGACCACACATCTGCCCTGCTCTGAAACAGACTCTGCAGGACAGCCTCTGGGAGGAGACAAGGCACGAGGTCAAGATTTCTTCTTCCCCTGGACCAGTGAGCATCCCTGCTAAGGAACATCCTCGCATCATGTTTCTCCTGTATGAACCCACACAGGACCCAGTCTCACCTCACTATCTCTCCTTTACAAGCAAACAACCCAGACAGAGAGCTGGATTCAGTCCTGCCCTTATCTTCACACGTGTCCTCCCCCCTATAACCTTTCCAGCAAATGGAAGAGAGCAAGCAAAGGTGGTGGTAACCTGATCCCAGCCCTCGTGCATGGAAAAGGTGTTTTTTTCAGCAAGTACTCCAGCTTGTTTTACCTATCCAAGCAGCCTTCCCCTCAGTTCATAGCCCTTGCCACCCCCTCACCAGCTTGCTCCCCTGGAAGTCCCTTTCTCTTGCACACAGGTGCCCAGCAGCTCTGTCCAGAGGCTCAATACAGTGGCTGTGGGTATTTCAAAGGAAAGGAGTCCCTGGTAGCACCTCAGTAACCCTTCGAAACATGAAGCTCTTTCTGACCAGATTCAACATAAGGACAATAAACTATCTCCAAATAAAGGGCTTTTTCCCCCCCTCCTCCTCTCAGCACCCTTCAAAGCTGTTCTAATTTGGTTTCCCTTCATCACTGAACTCTCCTCTTCTCTCTCCTTTCCCCCACATTTCAGCCTATTTTCCCTTCAGCTTCTAAATGTGGCCTTGAAAATTAAAAAAAATGCCTCGTTCAGATTCTTTCACTTTCACCCAAGATTGTCCCTAGTCCCTGATGTCTTGCATGTTCTAACTGATGAGAGTATGACTAAGTCCAAATTCTCTGATGGACTCTCCTCAGCAACACATGACACTCACACAGGCTTTCCCTTTCAGTTATCTCCCTCTGCTTACACTGAGTGAGGCAGTACTGGGAGCTGGACACCACCTGCATGAGCATTGCTGAAACACTACTTGTGACACTTTGCTGTACTTTGTAACCTCCTACAACTCCACAAACAACAAGCAATTAAGACTTGGAACACCTTCATTCTAGGCTAGAAGCAGAAGAGCTGAGGAAATATGAGGCAAGAAGATGTCCTCATGAGGATCTCACTGACAGCCTGGGGTTGAATCTTGAGTGGGGTTCAGGTTCACATCAACGAGTCCTGTCCTCACAGGCACCATTTGCTCTGATCTACCACCAGATGACCAAAAAGGGGAGGAGTGAGAGGACTGGATATGGCAACTAATCCTCAATCCTTATCCTTTTATCTAGGAACATAAAACGCAAAACAAAAAAGCTTGGTTAATCCTTAAAACCACAGGCAAGACTATAAGCTCTCAGTCTCTGTTGAGTTTGACAATGCCTCCCAGCTAGGAGAAGGACAGGAAGAGTCCCAAAAGGCTCCTAATTGAGTGATCCATCTCAGTTAGCTGAGCAGGGAGACATGAAGTGTCTGACATGGAGTCAGACAAAGCATCTGACAGAAGCAGATGGAGACCCCTAATTCAGAGCCCCAACACAGGAGTCCCATTCAGTCCTGAGACTGAGCTCTGCTTTGGTTAAGCAGATCTTGACCACATTCAGCCCAAGGTTCAATCCCTATGTAATAGATTAGTAGTAGTAACGTAATTTACTCATCAAATTAGTAGTAGTAAAGTAATTTACTCATTCAGTGGTATTGCATGTTATATTTCTATATATATATTATTGTAATCAATGTTCTGTTAAGGCTGAAAGACTGTAAGTTGCAAAATGGGTAGTTAACCTGTCAGTACTACAAGCTGATAGTCCTGTAGCTGCAGTTCTTAAGATGACAAAACAAGTTATTATGCCTTACTGAATAAGTCTTTTGTATATTGTCTAAATGGGTATGCCTAAAGCAACGAAGGGAAGGACAAGGATCAAAGGGTCAAGTACGAAGACGATAAAAAGGATCCAAGATGGACATCTGGAGAGATTCACACAGTAGGCTTCAAGGATGAAAAATTACCTAAAACTATGGAAAGGGAAGTACCTGGCAACTGAAAGCGAGTTTGCAAAAGAACCAACCAGAACCAGACTTGCGAACTCAGATCCAATAGAAGGATAACAAGTGACTATGGGAAGGGAATTGACAATGGTATAAAGAATACTGGTTTTGCCCACTGCTTTGCTGGCCGTGTGTGGAGCAGGGGTCTCCCTGGCAGCCCAGCGCGCTGTTTTGCTTATTTGCATTTTATATAAATCTTTAATAAATTTTTGCTGCTATATTTCAGCATAAGTTTCATTTGCTTATAACACCTATCTCTGTAATATCTAATAAAATCTGACTAGTGCTGCAGATGCTGACTTACTAGTCAATTATTTTTATTGTTTATGCCTGGATATCCAGCTTGTCTTCTGAAGCTCACCTGTGTAAGCACAGAGCACTTCAAAGAGGCCTCTGAGTGCTACACTGCAGATGCTAGTCTGAGAGTTCAGAAGAGCTTGCTCTAGTCCAAGAACCATAGCAGTAGCCAAGTAGTTGGAGAGGTGACAAAGAGACAGCTGGACCTCAAGCAGGAAGACCAAAATGAAACACTGGCTCAAGAGCAGAAAGCAGTCCTTCATGTCACCTCCTTGATCTCTGGTCAAGTGGGGAGCTATTTAAAATCTGCTGAATATATAAAATTCTTTTACCACGTTATTCTACAAGACCACTGAGTGCCAGGGTCAGCCAGCACCATTCCCCTCAGAGAAGCACCTCTGTGCAGGATTTCTAACTGTGCTGTGAATGTATCCAGGTGGTGGAGCCTTCTTCCTGCCATATGAGCAGTAGCAGGTAATGCCCTTATGTAGGTGTTTGAAAATATCATTATGAGGGAAGAAGTCGTGGATGAAAGCACAGCTCTAAAGAGAAGCTGCAGAGATCCAGGCCCAGAAAAACAAGTCTGAGCCAAGGCTAGAATGTTTGTGGAAAAGCAAAGAGTCAGGGCTTAAAGTATGACTGTCAGAGCACTCCTGCTCAGAAACCCAAGCTTTTCAACCATGGAGAAGGAGGGAAGGATAAAGGCTGGAAGGACTGTCCTTCATGAGACTTAAAGAGGGGGTGTCATTTCTATAAGAAGACTCAGACAGAAAATGCAACCAAGTGATAGCAAGTTTGCACTGTTGTGTAGCTATGTGCTACAAAAGATGCATCACACATGCCAAGAAGGTAACAGAAAGGCTAAATACTTTCTTGGTGTAACTCCATCAAGGGTAAAGGAAATATCCCACCTAGCATATGGCTCCTCTGTTCTGAGCAGTCCCCAAAGTAACTTGAGATTCATATTCTCCTGTGTTTGATGGAAATAAACCTATATGGCTTCTGCAAATGAGGAGGGAGTGTCTAGAAATGTCAATGACACTCTGCAGTAAAATCTCAGGTGGAGTGTTTAATTGAGGGTTTTCAGTGCCTGGAAATTCAGAGAAAAAGTTTGAATCACTGTGAAACCACATGAGGTGAGCCAGTGCTAGAAAGATGCTTAGAAACCAAAAATATACTGGCAGAATTCATGTGGTTTGAAATGGGAGGTGACGGGCAGTTTTTGGAACTGGCCTACAACAGACTGGGCATGCCCACTCCAGCAGTTAAATGCTCACCCTGCACAGTCCTTCCTGGCTCTGAGAGAAACTGTGGCTCTGGGATAAGGAATAAATTCTGTCTTGAACTACATATTCTACAAATCTGGGTATCCTCACCATGCTGCTCAAGGTGAAAATGCAAGTGGGTACTAAGCATCTATTGCATTGTGGGATATATGAACAAACTTCATGGGAAATAATTATTTTCTGAACTCACAAAAAGCAGTGGATGTTCAGTTTGCCTTTGAGAACAGAGCACATGGGAACTCCACCCCTCGCTACCTCATCCTGTGCAATCACATCTCAGCACTATCTCTTTGGGACTCTCCAGGCTCAAAGTAAAAGCAACATTCCTTAAGATGTATTTCATCTCTGCTGTCAGGGCTCAGAGACACAGGGACAGAGTCCAAATAGAGTAGGTCATCCTTCTGTTTTTCTCTTCTTGTCTTTCCCTTGTGATGGTAGAAGGTGATAAGGCAGGGTGAAATCAAGGATATAATATGTTTTTCTTAAGTTCTCTGAACTGAATGGGATTGGGTTTTGTGCCACTTTCCATATGCACACGCTGCAGAATTTCTCACAGAAACTGGATTAAAGTTTGCTTTCTCTTAAGTCACAACATGTCAACTTGAATTTAAACCAGATGCTAGGTGAGTCTGTTAATGTTACTGGGTGACTGCTTCTAGAGATCCTATTTCTAGGAGAGCACAGCCCTCCAGGACAAGTATTAGGTGAAGATCAGAGTCTTAGCCAGATCCATTTGTCATCCCATCCAAATGCATATAGGCCTTGGAGATACACACTGAGGTCCTTACTGACCTCGGTCAGTGACCCAGAACTACATTGCATCTATCCTGTACAGATTTTATACTTCCTGTACAGATTTTATACTTCCCATAATTCATCCTACGTCTTTCCCTTCTATTCTTCACTTTGGTCCCCCTACGAGAAAAGTGCAAGAGTTTTCATAAAAACAAAACCCTTCCTTGTCAGAAACAGTATATTCCCTCGAAGAAAATGCAATTATGTGAGGAGGCTTGAGGAATGGAGAGGCAACAGCACCATGTTTCTCACCTTTCTTCCCAGGTACAGACAGCAAACATCCTTACAGAAAACCAACCTTCAGACTTTATTTGTGTAAATCCACAGGGCTTATAAACTGCTTATTAAGTTCTCATCATGGACACGCTTCTCTCTTTCCATCCCCACCATCCACAAGGGATCTCACACAGCCAGTTTATTTTGGACTGCTGACACTTTTGGAGCAGCAGCTCCTTTTCTTTCATGGTGAGGAAGTAATTCAGTGTGACAGACCCTGAATCTAACAAAATGTGAATCTGAGACTCTGAACCTGAGAAATCCAGGTGCTGCCAAAAACTGCTGGCTCAACATGGTTCAAAAATTACTCAAGAGCTTAAAATGTATAAAGAGACCAAGTAGAGGGGCAGATGAAGAAATTGTTTTCTGTTCTTTTGAGCCAATTGGTTTGGGGAACTTACTTTGCAAGAAGATCTGCTAATGAGAACATTATCCTACACTGGGTACATAGAACTGCAGAAATCAATCCTAAGGATATTTTTGGAGTAAAAGATAATAACTTGTCTGACAATTATGTTTGTGATTCTGCCACAGACTCTTGGTGAAAATCAACTAGCTGGATTTCTGAGATTCCCAGAAGTTTGCTTCCCCAGTATGTATGTTGATCTCAGACCTGTTATTTGTAGGCTCTTAGCCTGCATTGCTGACATTCATCAAGTCTTATACTTACGATTATCAACAAGATAAAGTAGATAAAATTGTAGAAGGAATGTGCATCCATCACATAGTACATGATCTCCACCCACCCTTCCAGTGTGATCACCTGCAAAGATAAACAACAACAAGAGAAACAGGAGGGAAGTGGGCTTCCAGAGCTCATTCCTCATTGTATACAGACAGATACTGGTAGAGCTGTTGCAACCCAAGAAAGGTGAGAAACAACAATTCATTTCAACAAAGCCAAATTTCCATTTCAGGAAATCAGCATGGTACTGCTTGGTGACACTGGCATACTGTCAAAGCCTGTGAGATCATTCTAGTCCACAGCAGGAATATTTCATTAAAATAGTTCATTTCCCTGGATCGCAGCGGGGGAGAACCTGCAGCAGGTTTCTGTGCCCCTTGGACTGGACACTGCGTACAGCCGGAGGAAAAGTAAAAAGGCATGGATTTTTAGCTCCCATCTGCAACGCACGCTGGGAATTTAAAAAAAAGGAAAAAAAAAAGGACTCCTTTACTATAGCAGTTTGCATTGAAGGGGAAACTTGTACAAGTCAGCCTGAAGAGCGCAGATTATTTTAGCAAGGGTCTGTAATTGCTCTATGTCCCTCCCCATCTTCAGGAGCACCGTTCATGGTGTGCAGGCTGTCTCCCTTGCTAGGATAGTTACTAGACCCTTTAGTCTCTGCATCTGTGTCACAGGCTGCAGAAACCACCACTGGAGCCCAGAACTATTGAGTCTGAAAAAAAGAAAAATAGCTTGAGGCTTGTTAGAAGGCTAACTCGGACTTACCTGAAATATCACAATCCAGGCATATCCAATGTTGTCAAAGTTGATGGCACCCTTGTGCGGGTTGGCGTTGCCGGTACGGCACACGTTGTAGTACTGGTTCCAGTTGACACACATGCCACTGATATTGAACTCTTGCCGCACTGAATTGTAGTAATAATAATCATCCTTGTCCAAACAACACTCATGGCCTCGCTCCTTCAGTGGGGGTATTTCATGACAGCCCATAATTCCATTGTCTCCTGACAGTGAGCAGATAAAGGGCATCTCATCATCCTCCTCAGGTTGGTAATAGGGGGGCAAGACAACGTCACCTTGTCTGCAAGAGTAAAAAAACCCATGGTCATAAATTTTCTGTGACAGACAGTTTCCCATCAGTGACACTGGTGAAGCTGGGAGCTCCCATTCTGACACAGAGACTGCACTGGGTAAGGGATTTTCAGGTTTATGGGAAAGGAAGACAAGGCTCCTGAAAAACAGGAAATTTCCAGGGTGAGTCCCCAGTTTTCAGAGTTTTGTCTTCCATCAGATCATCTGAAGCCAAATTATACAATCTGCTTGCATGGAGATGAAGAAAAGCTGGAATGCAGAAATTTGCAGTCTGATCACTCTCTCCATTAGCATCAAGCTAAATCAGAGGCAATGATATTAAGGTAGTTCATCAGGCTTTACGGTGATGTGCTCATATATGTAACTGTTGATAGACACGTTCTGTAACATTTGGCAGTGAGCCCTCTGTACTTCTAAAAAAAGAAAAAAATCCAGTTCGTGCATAATTAAGGCTGCACAGATAAGCCCTAAAATCTGGAAATGCAAAGTTAAAATTGACTTAACCTTAACTTTGACTCTTCCTTGGCAGTTGGCATTATGGGTGCAACGTTTCATGACAAGTTCACGTGCCTTTTTCCAAATAATGCAAGCACCTTCCAAATGCACAAACAGTTAAAATAATCTATGCTTGCCTAGCTGCAGATGAGCTAATGATCAGGAAAGTGAAAGGTGGAGATTAAACTTTTTTTGATTAAACTTTATCTGGTGTAGTCCTTGCACTGTTACAATATATAACTTTCACACTTTGTGAACGCAGACTTTTGCACTAAATGTCACTGGAAGAGGACAGCTGTTGATGAAAAAGACAGAAAGTCTTTGATTCTAAACTAATCAGGACTAAACCACAAAGATCTGTCGTAACTCATCCTCATAATTGGTGAACTAGGTACCTTCAGAATTGATTTCTCTAGTAATGGTCAGCCAAAGATTTTCTAATATCTGTCACTTTGAAGGCTGTGGCACCAATTCACTTCTCAGTTACATTAACTCTGCACAGATTTAATTACACTCATTAAAGTAGTACTACTCCTGATTAACATAAAGGACAATCATCCTACACATTAGTTTCCCCCAAGGAATAAATAATCACAGGAAATGCCTGCTTTAAGCAGCTCCTACTCTCCAACTCCACTCTGTTCCACAGATTGTATTTTCATACTTTTTTTTTCCCCAAGCTTCAGAACTGTTTAATCAGTCTAAACTGATCTACAGTTCTAGCTTTTTTTTAAAGCAGTCTAAACTGATAGCACATCTGGGATTAGCATAGGATTTTAAGAAAACATTTTAAAGCCTGAGATCTGCTAAAGTCAGAAAGTCATAAGGAGGAGCTGTACCCTGAAACTGGGTAATTGGAGAATTCATGGCAGGCAGGAGCTTTACTACCCCACTGCCTGTGGAGAGGAGTAAAGCTGTGTTCTTCAGACTTACCCCTAAAACCCCAGATACCTGTAGTTGATCCCCGTGTGACTTCAGGCTCTGCCCAAACTGTGCCCACATTTCCCCATGAGTTTTTTGTCCCATTCAAACAGCCATTCTTTGCATTCAGATGTTCTCACTTCTGCTAACCCAGCTGTGGGATATCTCTTCCCCCAGCCCTCCATACCCTCCACATGGCACCACTCGCATGTACTTCTACTCTTGAAGCTTTCCAATAATTTCCCAGTGTCCCTCTAAAGTCTCCAAAGGTAATGTACTACTGTTCAAACAGTGACCTCAGCTCTGTCTTGGAGGTGCCAAAGATGATCCTGGAAGCATCAGGCAGTGCTATGGCTTTCTGTAAGATTCCTCTGTGTGTTGTTTTCTGAAGAGGGAGCAAGTTCAGAAGAAAGACAGCATGGTTGGTGTTTCAGAGTTTCAATTCTTTCTGGGTGTAGGAGCAGCATCTTGTATTACTGGACATGGCTGGAGGAGGCAGCCATGCTAACCTGTGCCTTGATCCAACCCAAATGAGACCAGCCTTGTTCTTCTGTGAACCGTGAAGACAGATGAAAACCAGCTGTCTTTGCCTGCCCTCCCTTACCACTGCAAGACATGACCAACACTCTGCACACTATCACCCTACAGCTTTTTGGAGTAAGTGATACACAGAGAGCCAGGCAGTAGAAGACAAGAGTGGGAAAGGGGAAAGAGAAACATTCCTGGAAGAAAGGAAGGAGACACTGTCTCCCAGTCACTCACATTGTGAAGTTCTCCTCCATGAAGCAGCGGTTGCGGAGCAGCCCAGCCCACAGCTGCACCCCGATGATGCCGAAGATGAAGAAGACAAAGAAGCAGAGAAGAAGGACGTTCCCCAGCATGGGCAAGGTGTCCAGGAGCAAGTTCACAAGGATGCGCATGCCTGAAAAGGAAAAAGAGAGCCAGAAGGAGCAAGTGTGGGACAGAGAAAGAGAAAGGGAGAGAGGAAGGGAAGGAAAAGAAAAGGAAAGAAGTTTACAAGACATGCAGAAAAAAAAAAAAAGCCACATGAAGATAAAAGCAGAGTGTCAGAAATTAGCTACTGTCCAAACCAGACTAGATTTATGGTTATTGCCCTTTCTTGTCCTAACCTTTACTGAGAGGCAGCCTCCATCTGCAACAGAGAGAAGAAAGGGGAATGAGACTTTTGGTGCCATCAGCTATCTGACTGATACCCCCTGCTTCTCCTTTCCCTGCAGAAAAACAACAGAGTGATGACTGTCCCAAAGACACAGCTCAATGGCCCCATCCTCAGTCTAGGACTGAAAGCCATCCCAGTTCAACAACTGCATGCTGCAACCTGTGAGAATTGTACTGACAGACTAAGGCCAGCCTGTCAGTGGGAGGAACCTCTCTGTCACATAAAAACCAGCATATATTGGTTTTCTTCGTGGCAGTATTATCAAGAGACAGTTCCCTGGCTAGTCCTCCTGCCCCAACAAGACTGGAACACAAAAGTAGCAGGCACAGCCCGAAATGCTGCCAGCACAGAACCTCTGCCCAAAGCAAATGTTTCCAAAAAGCCATTTTTAAAAAAATTTCTAATTACCTAATGAATTATTTCTGTGGTTTTATTTTGCCCCTGGCTTTTCAGCTCACACAGCTGCAAGTAGGGGTAGAGATAGGCTCATTTCTCCGTGGAGCTAATGACTTTTCCTCTGCTCTCTGGGGATGGTGAAAGTCTGGAAATTCTTCTGAGCATCCCATATTGCCTTTACCCCTGCACACACCTCATGAGGTTGTCTCGCCTCCATGGAGGTCCCTCCCCCAAGTGCCCAGGGACTTCCTTCACTGAAGATGTTCCATATAGGCCAGAAAATAATTAGCTAATTAGGTATTTATAACCAGTTCATTACTTCAGATGGCAGAAGAAGAGGAAAGAGGAGGGAAAGATAAGATTAGGATTCTCTGACAGCCCTTTGAGGCACAGGATAATCCCCCTTGCGTGCCCAGCATCGAGTAATTAGCCACATGATGCTACACATTATGTTCCATGTCTATTCCCCGGACTGCTCATGCCACAGAGAAGGGAGGGAAGCGGTGCCTTCAGTGGGGTGTGCAGGCGTGGGATGCACACACACTGAAAGGAGAGGGAGATGTGGGACAGATGTGGGATATCAGACTGGTTTATATTAGCAGGGAAAGTTTTGGGGACAAATAGGGGTGGAATAGACAGGAGTTGTAGGCAGTGTGTAGGAAGAAGATGCTTAATGATGGCTACACGAGATCATGAAGGACAAGGAACAATGGCATTAGTTCTAAGGTCAGGGAGTGGAGCAGTAGTTAAGCTCTGCTGCATGACTGCCCAGGTGCATCACTGGTCACCACGTAAGGCAGCTTCCAGACAAGTACATCAGTAACTCAGTAGTGCAGGGGCACAGCTCCAGTCACTCGCTGGGGATCATGGACCTGCCATGAGTCACTGACAGCTGTCTGATCTCTCACCACACAACGTCCAACAGCAGAGCCACAGCACTCTGTTGCCAGTCGCTGTGACCTGTCAGGCCCTGGAGAAAGACTCTGGATAGCACTTTGACTTCAGGACCATGTACCCTCACTGCAGTACAGCATGTTCCCAGCATTAACGTTGCTTCACAGCATGAACTCTGTAGTTCTCATAAACTGTCCTGGTCAGTACATTAGGGAGAGCCAAGTGACACGGGAAGCTGTGCCAGTAGCACTACAAGGGGGGTGATGTTTTTCAGAACAATCGATGCTAGCTCCATTTCAGAGCTGGGTAATGACAAGAAGGAGACTGTCCTTATGCTGAAGCACAGAACAGATAAAACAGACATTGTCACCAGAATTTTACAGACAACACACTTGTTGGGTCATAATTTGCAAATATTGATTTTGTCCATGTTCCAAGAGAAGACAAATGACTCATGAAACTTGTCTGCCTTTCTCTTGGAAGCATCCCTGCCTACCCATACGTTGTCCATCCTGACTCTCAGAGGGATTACTGATGGTACAAGGTTATGCTAACCACAGCACCAAGATCATAGCTAATGCCCTCATGATAGGCCCTCTGGGTACCTGGGGCCATGACCCAAGAACTGGCAGGTGGACCCATCACTTGACATCTTTTCTACATCACAAAAACTTTCAGCATTGGTAAGTTCCACTTCTAAGTCTAAATGAAACTAAATGTCTATTTTTTTAAAATCTCATTGTTAAAACAGATTCATCTTTGTCTTCCCATTTATGCTGACTGTGGATATGAGACTGGCTCTTCCAAAAGCAGGAACGCGGAAGCTACACCCATCCAAACATCAATTGCAATTCTCCTATGGGCCAAGTATCTCTAAAACAAATCCATCACTTCACTTCATGCAAAGCCTCTTTTGCTTCCTGACCTAAACTACAAAGCAACTGCTCTGAGAACCTGTTTCTCACCAGATGCATCAGTTTGGTCCATCAAATGGACCTCCTTGGCTGAGTTCACCCAGTTAGTGGCAGTACTTCAGCTATTACTTCCATATAGATGAAAGGCACAGTGTAAATACAAGCTCAGTACCTTTCTTTCCTTCCTTGTTAGCCTCCCCTGCCACCTGCAATACTCAGGCCAGAGACCCTGAGCCCCGTCCTCTGCTATGGCATTTTGGTGCTGTGCCTGTATGTCACCATGGGAACTCTGAGTGGAAGGTTTCTCAGCCTCCCTATTCACTCCTGAGCCAGCAGCCCAGTCTGTCTGTGGCTAGTTCTTTGCAGTCCTCCATCCCCCAGGAAGGAACGGGCTGGTCTAGCAGGCAAGCTAGGACATCTGCTGCAGGTTTCCAAGGAAAGGCCCTCACTGCCAGGTGTCTGAACACCTTCATGGGCAGGAGGGAACGCACCCCACTCAGGCAGGACTCACAGTGTTTCAGGGTCTACGCAGCCTGACTGGAAGCAAACAGTTGCAAACAGTCCCTGGTTCCTCAAACACTACAAGGGAAAAGAGGGAGAAAGGCTGAAAAAGCTAAGGATAATAGGGAAGGATATACTGTAGAGCCTGGAGGTCAAAATAATGAGGTCTTTAAAGCAAGTGCTGGGCAACAGAAATGGTCAGAAGGCATATTTGTCAGTGGAGCTGCGGGAGCATTCTGTTTTGGGGAACTGGGATGCCTCCCTTTTTCCAAAGGGCCTTCGCTGGACAAGCTGTCACCCACAGCAACACCAGTGCATCTTGCATGACAAATTTTGTAAGGTGCTGGAAAACCAGTTCTTCAGCAAAATCCTTCTGCTGCCTCTGTCACTTTACTTTTCTCTTGCTGTGCCTACAACTCCTCTCTGCCTCTGTGCTGCTCCTCAGCTTATGTGCACACATTTCCTGGCCTCCCTCCCCAGTGCTGCCTTTACCCACATCCCCATTTATCCTTCACCACTGGCAGAGCAGAAGCCATGCTGGCTCACAGCAAGGAGGGGATATGAAAGGGACAGTGACCTTTTCCTAAGCATCCTTTTAAAAAAAGAAGACACTGCTCAAGAAGAGAAAGGAAGAAGGGCTGGGCAGTCTGGAGGAAAAGCAGGGAGGGAGAGCACCGATGAAGTAACATTCAGCAACCAAACAGCCTTCCAGGGCATCAAATATGAAAAGGTTCTGCTCTTCAAGGGAAAGAAAAGCAAGAAACATGAAATATTCATGAGTGCCAGGTGTGGGCTCTGAAAGGTCTTTTCTCCACTCACTCTCACAAGGAGACCAAGGGAAAGAAAGAAACAAAATGGCCTCAGCTGTGGGCATCCAAGGAAGGATCTCCACGAAACAATACCCACATAATGCTTCCTGCTGCTTACCCATGCCCTCGGGCAAGGGGTAGAGAAGGGTGCTCGACTGTACCTTGCTGGTAGGGCTAATCTTGATAGGACATCCTGCAGGAGCAAAGCCACCACTCAAACACAGCAGTAGATGGGGCAAAGTATGTTACAGGGATAAAAAATGGTGGGAGGGTGAAAGAAGTGCCAGGAAGTGAGCTAGCAGCAGGAAGCACAGGGCTGAGCTGTCTTTGAGCTCCCTCCTGGGTCTGTAAAAAAAGGAAATCTTCTGTCTCACCCCGGTAGCATCCAGAGGCCCTTCCTGACAAACTCTTCAGTGACTCTCGCTCCCTCCAGACACTTGCCATCAACCCTGGTTAGCGCGGCCGTCACAGCCAAGCAGACTCGTCTGGCACGTGGCAGCCCCGGGCACAGCGGCCCGGCGGGGTCGAGCAGCCGGGGCAGGGCTGGCGAGGAGGCTCCGGGCAGCCAGAGCCGGCTGCGCAGTGCAGGTGTGCCCGGAGGCACGCCCCGCCGGCCCCTGCCCCTGCTCAGCATCGCTCTGTCACTTCGCCTTCTTTCCACCTGCCTCTTTCCCAGAGTGAGGGCCGACAGCTGAGCTGATTCACTCCCTAGTGCTAATCACACTGTGATCTGAACGGGGGCCTGGCTCAGGAGGGGGTGAGAAATCCTGTTGTTTCTGGTTTCTTATATCTCACTCACCTCTGAGGCTTTCAAATCCTACCCAGCTATAGAGTGAGGGAGAAAGCTAGTGCATGTGAAGTCAAAAGGAGATAGCTGTTTGAAGCATCATTCCCCTGCTCTGAGTAAACCAGATGGAAGAGAACATAATTCTCAGCACCCATCTCATCTGCATCGTGAACCAAGCCACCCATTGTCATTTTAACTGGAGCAAAAGCAAATCTACTTCCCATCAGCACTTGTGACCGTAGCTGGCAGGATATTTTGCAGAATGCAGAGAGTGAAGTGTCATTATGTTCCTCGGCCAGGCTGCTTGTCCAAGCGTGCCTTCTTTCCTTCCTCCCCTGCCCCAGGACACATGGCAGTCCATCCCGCTAGCATGTGGTTGGCAGGATTTTCCTGTGCATGCTCCGTTATGGAAATTTTCAGAACTGAGGAACCATTCCAGCA